TCCTCTCCACTACTCTTGTGCTTCCTCTCCTTGCTTCGACTCTTCGACTTTTTGGCCTTCCTCTCGTCTCTGTGTCTGTCCCTGTCGTCTTTATGCCTCTTGTCATCAGTCTCTCCCCTGCTCTTCTTATCCCGGGACCTCTCCCTCTCAACGCCTCTATCTTTGTGGTGCTCCCTGTCCTTCCTCCTGCTCTTGTCCTCACCGCCGTCTCTGTCTTTGTCTTTACGTTCGCTTTTCCGCTCCCGGCTGCCACTGCGACTTTTTTTGCGCTCTCGTCGCTCATGGTTCCTGTCAGCACTGCGGGAACGTCGCCTCTCCCTGTCCCCTCTTTCCCCTCTGTCCCTATCCCGGTCCCTGCCATCCCTCTCCTTCCTCTGGCGGTCCCGCTCCCTCTCCAGCTCTCGGTCAAAACTGGGCCCATGGCGTTCTCTCTCACGGTGGTGGCTCCTGCTCCTTGATCGTTTGGGTGACCTTTTGGGGCTTGGGGTCCGTCTGGGTGTCCTGCCAAGAGAAGTACCACTTACTTTAAATTACAGTTTACATAAACCATAAATTTTTTTAATACAATTTAAAGTTACTGTTTCATATTGACTAAGGTCAAGTTGCCAACTTGAGGCAACAACTCTTAGTGGACATTTTGCCTCTTTTGCTTCTTATTGGAGAGTTGTTTTTATCTCTCTGTAGTTGTTGCATCTCCTTAGAATCATTTTATGTCCCTGTGCAGTACAAATTCATCTCTTCTTGGACCAGTTTATTAATTCATGCTGATAATAAGTTTTGATGTTTGTAACCAAAGAAGCTTCCGTCAGGACTTCCTTGGTAAAACTGAGGCTTAATACTTTGAATTATTTAAGATGTTACCTGGAGCGGCGTCGTTCTCCTTGCCTCCCCGACTCTGCGCTAGCGGCTTCTTCTTCCTCCTGCGGCTCCTTCTGCGCCACCTTACGAGGCCTGGCCTTCATCTGCTGGTCTATAGCTTTCTGCACAGGCACGGGGATACGGGGGAACAAAGTGGAGAACCACTCCAGTTTGGTCAAGAAAGAGCGCAGCATCTCCCCGACTGTCATCACACAGCCACCTCCGGCCTTCACATCCAGCTCCTAGAATGAAATGGTGGGAAAATTCCGAAGAAAAACTCAGTTCAGCACACAGATATATCAGAGCGTTTTTTGATCTGACTTAAAAAAACAAAATGTGATGACCAAGTACTGAACCTTCACCTCTGTTCATCTAGCTTAATCCAAATATCAATCAATCAATCAAATGTGCCTGGTTTTACACTGATCATTTTAAAAAGGGAAATATAACTATATATATAAATAACAAGAAAATACTGACTCATCTAAACTGGCAGGGCGACTCCTGCGGCCTGTAATTACTGTGTGGGCTTGAATACCATGACAATTTTCCTTCCCATCATCTGTTGAAAACATCTTCAAAAAAAGTTTGTGTTTACAGAGCAGAAATGACGGGAAGGAACCGTATCTAAAAACATCGTGAAACATAATCATTGAGCCAGAGGGACAAAGAGAGATGCTTTGGCTTCCTTCCTTAGTCTCTCAAGAGCACAATGAATTCTTAAGGGGGATGTTCAAGCACAAAATTGCCCACAGTATAAGCACAGACTGAAGCAGGAGGCAAGTGTTTACCAGTTGAGTTGTCAAATTTATATGGTAAAGAACAGCCACTTTGCACTCACACACGCAACCCAACAGTGCTGAGATACATTTTCCAATTCACCTGCTGCACAATGGGCATCTGAAGAAAAAAACAGGGGGAATTAACCAGTTAACCGATTTCATACGATCAATTCAAATGCAACAGAACATCAAAAGAGGCCTGGTTGCACAGTCTGGGATCAAATTATTTTCCTTAACTATAAGTGAAGCAAACACATTTCTTTTGCAGAAGTTGACGTGTGTTTTTTCATTTGTTTATGTGTCTTTTTCAGTGTGTATCAATGCTCAAATAGCATTTGTATCCCAAGTTCAGTTTTGTGCAACAAGTCCTGATAAAAACACGGCATGCCTTAATGTTACATTAAAAAGATTTACTCATCATCTAAGTTACTTACCCTGATAAAAAAAAAAAAAAAAAATCAGCAGTAGAGCAGTTAGCAAGTCACCTAGCTACGCATGTTTAGGGAAAATAACTTTGGGACAATTAAGCCAAATGAAGGCAAAGGTGAAAAATCAGCTATGAGCATCACAAGGGGGGAGGGAGACTGACAACTTTTAGTACATAATGTGTGACTGTGTATTTAATAGAGGAAGAAGAAACATTAAATTATTACCCGAGGTGACATACCTCCTCATCATCCAGGAAACCATCGTACCAGTCTATCAAATCTGCCGGGGGTTGAGTGTACCTGAAGCAGAACAGAGAAAACAAACAACGCTTGTTACGTCGAAAACATGACGAGATGTTGCACAAATACCAATATGTATTTATAGACCTGTTTGTTACAAATCATCCACTTTTTTTTTTTTTTTGCAGAAATGATGTATTATATTGGTAATCACTAAAGTAAAACATTATATCAGCACAGTAGAAATGCAAATTTAAACAGTTCCACTAAACTTCCCTAAAGGGGCTTTCAGAGATGATGTGGAGTTCACTGCACTCGCTGCGGGGACTGTGCAGAGCTCTTATAATTAATTATTTTTTTGCAATTCATAGAGATTTTACCAAAAGAAAATCACTTTGAATTAAACGTTTCTCTTAAAGGCAATTATTTTCTCCTTACAAAGATTTACATAACCGCTTATCTATCCAGCTCACCATATAAATAATCCAGAATAAACACATCTATTATATAATGCAATTTTGTATGTCAATAAATACATCTTCTACATCATAAAACTACAGTTGTCAAATTTGGTAAACTCACACAAAGAACCTACCTTATGTACATGAAGCCGAGAGCTCTGATATACGGAGAGTCTGTATGAGTGATCAGACCCATCAGCTGTTTTCGGGTCAGCTTGAGTGTAAACAGTTTGTATAGAAGACAGAAAGCAGTAGACACAATACCACCAGTTCCAACTCCACGCACCTAAGATGGAAGAGGATGAAGCCTTTTAAATGAAGCGAATCGTTGCATATTATTCACAGCTTACCTGTCCTTACTAGAACAACACTCAACTAATGTAGTAAAGTAAGTACATCTATAGTGAACCATGTACATTTGTCACACTTGTATATGAGAAACTATTTAAACAGAAAGTAGCATCCACAAACTAAAGGGTAACGGGAGGGAATAGATGGGGAGTAGAAAAAGCACGTACTTCCCACTTACCCCTCCGCACATTCCAGTCTGGCCTGCAGTCTTTCTGCTTCCTTTTTCCCAAGGCTCAGCGTGAGTCACCTGTAACCACACACAGAAGATCAAGTTTACGTTTGTCATTATATTAGACAAGCCCTCTCCAACAACAGACCGCTAATCCTATTGTAACTAATGGCGTCAAAGGCTTTATGAGGAGTACAGTAACCCGCCATACAGTCTTTACAGTGAAACAATAAAACACTTGTATACATTATAATGCTTTAATGACCTGCTCATTTTAAGTTCGTGTGTCGGCATTAAAGCTACGAAATTGATGCATTCGTCCAACTACCCTTTCGCATTTTCCTCAGTATACCGGTCATTACGTAAAGCCAGTCTATGTTTATAACAGCAGCCTACATACGACACCATGTTTCACTGAGCCGCTAACTTACAAGTTACGAGAGTTCAGACTACCTTGTGAATGAACGAAAAACTGTTTTACGGGTGTCTTACTTACTTCATTAAACGAGCGAGTCGAAAGTACAGTTATATTGACTTCCCAATCCCACATTGCCCTTGTTATTTTACTACTTAAGTACAATGGCACCATAATAACAATGCTAGCTTGATATCGGTATCAGGCTAGCATGCGGTTTAGCATTTGCTAATGTACCTTGAAGTAGATTTCGTCGACCACTTCGTGATAGGTCTTAAGTTCATACAGCTGAACTTTGAAATACGGCGACGACAGTACATTTGTGAGTATCATTGGGTTGAGGTTCATAGTCTTTTCGTTACCCCACAGGGGCAATACATTTCCGTGTTTTCCAGGCGCAGACTTGCTAACGGCCTGTGTTGGTTGCTGGTTTCCGACGTTAGCCATGTTAGCTGTTGTCCACGCCGCTGAATTTCAATCACAGTTAACCTATTTCCGATTACAGCTCCATCAATACACGGCAGGGAAGTTTCCGTCGTTATCAGTATCGTCCGTCAGATTGTTGCAGCAAGCGTTTTGGTAAAATTGGTCCAAATAACTTCCCGCCGTCGTTCTAAGCTGAAATGTGGACGCGAGGTGGAAACGGAACTGTAACGTTAGTGGTGCAATGTGAACGGTATGAGGTCAAGTTACCATAGATACAGTCAACTCCGAGAGCTTTCCGGCTTCAAAATAAAAGCATGATGCACACAATATTGTATATACTGTATATAACTATTATTTTATGTATTGTTCCGTTCAGATAATTGCTCGTTAATTGGTTTATATATAAGTGCACCAAATATTACGTTATTTGCTTTTCATATGCATGTATTTAGTAGGTCTTTAATTTGAAATGTTTGTTATAACCGGAAGTGGTATTGTCTAGTCATGGTATTTTAGTGTGTCTGACCCGTACATACTATTTTTCAATTTTCAAATCCCAATTTTCCAAGTATCCATCAGCTATTTTATTAACTTTTTCTTTTAGCTTTTATTAATGGTCTGATTTCCAAGTATTTAATTTTATTTAACAGCATCACCACTCATATCAATAATGCTACACACTGTGTGTTTTAAGTCTTTCCACAAGTGGAAGTGCACATACATATTTTTTCTGCCTTTATTTAACTGATGTACATGTTTGATTTTTATTTTTATTTTTAATAATTGTATTCCTTTTTCCTGTTTTCTTGAGCTGCTGTAATGAAAAAAAATTCCCCCATGGGGGATCAATAAAGTATATCTTTATCTTTATGCTAGTAAAAAATAATTCCACACTCCTTTAATTGAAACATGAGCAAATACAGCACAGAACACATGAGTTATCAAAATAGCATGTTTTTATGCCACCAAATAATTTTAAATGATCAGTCAGTAATCTTAAAAATAAATACCCCACTGAGGGCCTCAGAACGTTTCAACAATGTAGGATATCTTAAATACATTAGGGAGTGTACACAGTTCACTTTCAATACATATTAAGGCTTTGACTACTCATGTTGCAGCTAGAAATGCAACTAATTTTGGAAATTTAACAAAATTTGAGGTAAAAAAAACCCCCAAAAACAAACAATTACTTTTGACTTTACAGACATCAGACAAACACACGCTCAAACAAAAATAGATACCACACCTAGAACAAAACACATAAAACGTCATGGTATCTTGTATGCAGCCATCCTCCCTCACAGCCAGGTGAACAGAGGTGATAGTCTGTTATGGACTATTGGTGCCAGGAAGCTTATAAATGACACTGTTTTAGTTTTCTGCTTTGTTAAAATAAATCTATCATACAGAAATAAATCATAGTTTTTATGAAATAAGATTAACAGATTTACTCAACAGCTCTAATATCACTAATGGGTGAACATAATGTGCAACAAAACAGCAGTATTCCTTTAGTCTTCAATGTGCACAAGCAGAAATGTTGGTACATCATCTCAGTCACCATAATTTTCCAATAATGTCGCTTTCACTTCAACTTCTTCGACACTAGGGGGCTCTCCTGGTCAACAGGCAGTAGGGGTTCAGCTCCAGAGGGATTGTGTAAGAGAAATAAGTCCTGGAGTTTGGCGGCAGCAAGTTCTGATGGCATCTCCAATACTCAGTCTTTACTCCCCCCGCCCGTGTCAGTGAAATACAGCACCCTTAATGACAGACAAGTGCTTTCCAAAGGCTAGCGCTTGATCACCACCTGTTCAAAAGCTCCAGCTGCGACCCTGTAAGAGAATGCAACAATGTGTAACATGACAGGAAGCGAGGCTAGTTATCACATCTAGCTGAGGAACAATGTTTTACATTGAGAACTAACACTGGGATAGCAAGTCACACCCACCTTGTGTGTTGGCTTCCCAAGGCTGTACTCCCACCAGGACCAACAAACAAACGGAGCCCCTCCTCTGCAACAACACACACACACAGATTAGAAATAAGAATACTGCTAATAACATTTGGGGTAGAAATGGTTACAGCTTAGTTTCTAAAAAACAAATGAAAATCAACTGGGATGTTTAAGTATAGCAAAACTGACAACAACAAACACAGACAAGTGTTTCATAGCTGCTGCATTGTCAAAAGACTTCCTTCCCTAAAACAGTGTGAAACATCAGGCTGACTGAATGAGGAGACTCACCATAGCCCAACACAACAAATGACTGTTCTCTACATCATACGTAACACTGCAGTCACAATGTGTGCTCAGCTATCAGTGAGGTTAAACTGTCCTTGTGGTATTCATAGATATGACATCTAACCTTCTATTCTTTATCTTTAATCGAATATACCAAAATACTTAGGTAGGCATTAAGGTATGATCCTCATGTCAAATGTAGGGCTTGTTATCATAAACATCTAAACTTTCCTTAGTTTAGAAGTGCTAAAAAAAGGTTGTATTTTGCAGTTCCACAAAGAAACTTGAACCCATGAGGAGGATTACAGGCATACTTCCAAACAAGCGCCTTCATGAGCCCAATAAGTTAGGGATTAGTTGTACACACCCTCTGCACTGGAGTCCAAGAAGCCGTGGCTGAAATCCTGGCTCTGGAGGATTTTCTCTATTATGTCATCAGCATCCACCCTTGTGGCATCAACTCTCTTCAGCTGATTCTCCACGGAGTTCTGCTTCACCGGATGTCTAAGGAGGACAATAAATGGTGTGATATATTACTCAAATGTGATTCAAAAGACATCAAACTAAATACACGAGTATATAAAAACCATAGATCAGAAGAGAAAATTCCCTCAAGCAAATGCCCAGATCATCATAATGTCAAACTTGTGATATGATTCAGTGTCATATATTTTGAAGTTGTCTAGTAGTTGCAACATCTGTAGGCAGTCAACATCTGAACTGAAATAAAGGTATTTTGAAATCTGAATGCTAGGTTTCCCCTTTGTCAATGTGAAAGGATTTTTATTTTGACCGAAAACCAAAGCACCTTTTAAGGAATACTGTTGGCACATTGTTATGCAGTGAATGATTGTGTCATGATTCTGGTGGATGTATCATATTGGGCTTGTAGTTCATTCATTTACTGTCTACTCAGATTAGATGAGAGTTGGTATGACTGTTCAACAGATGTGTGTGCTTTTGAAATGTACGAGGCGTACTGGTTTTTAACAGCCTGTGGTAAGAATGAAATCTAATAAGAGCCGCCCCTTCTTGATTAAAAGTTCTTTTTTCGCTGTCCTCTTTTCAAATTTTGAGACACACCATGTCTTCTTTTTCCTAACTCACTTAGTTTCTCCCTGTGTTTCTGAGACTTTCCTGTCTGCTGTCTCCACTGTGTGTTAACTGTATACTCACACACCCGTGTTCACTCACAATGCATCATCAAAGTAAAGGATTTGACTGGCTGAATAGCATCACGTGACGATTTAAAAAAAATCATATAAAGATTTATTTTTGGCCATTATTGTAGAGGACAGTGGATAGAGTTGGAAATCCAGGAAAGAAAGTGGGGAATGACATGCGGGAAAGGAGCCACAGGCCGGAATCTAACCCAGACCGTCCGCTTGGAGGACTATAGCCTTCATACATGGGGCGTGACCTAACCGCTAGGCCATCTGCGCCCTACGTGTTGAGATTTTGGACGAATGTGTTGGTCTGTGACCTTCCTGGCTGCTGAAATGGCTACCGTAAAGACAGCTGCGCCGCTTAAAATAGACTTACTACCTTGAAGGCATTAAAAGCTGCACTGTTTAAAATAGAAACACTTATTAATATTAACCTGAGTCCAGATAGGATGGAACTGGGTCTACATTTGTAAATTCAATCTGATCCCTTTTTGTGATTAACAATGTCATTACACACAGAGGCTTAAATCACAGTACACAATATTTAATTAGTCCAGGGTGACTTTGTACCTTGGGCCTTTAGCAGGGGTAGTGGGTTGTTCAAGTATATGCTGGCCTGTTGCAGAGACTGGGGGAGTCGTCCTGCTCTCCCTCTCTCCTCTCTCCCCCTGTGGATCACTGGGATCCAGGATGCTGCCAATGCCTGTGGAGGCAGAACCTCCTGACGCACTCCTCCGGTGGCTCAGGTCTGTTAAACTGGAGTGATTTGAGCTGTAACCTACAGGACAAGAGCGTTATAAAACCACAAAGACTGTCATTGTAATTTGTGTAACTGGCGGGATAGAACTTCAGCTGCTGTTTTTAGTGTTTTCTGTGTGAGGTACCTGAGATTTTTGACTTCTGACTTGCATAGCTGGGTGTTCTCGAGTGACCATACACAACCAACTCGTCTGGGACTGAGACCGACTTCATTGGAGTCTCTAAAAACCCACGCACACACAGACACACACACAAACACACACAATATAAGCAAAAAATGGACAAAAATCTACTTGTTCTTTATTGTAAAACCTTCTCTTTTTTTGCAAAAGCAAAGACCTTGTGATGATTTTGAAAAGGCTTCTGTTGTCTCTCTACTCATCAAGTTAGCTCATGAAAAACAACTGTTTGTGGAAAACTACAACAAAATATGTATTTGATTTCAAGAACTGAGAAATTAAAATTGTGCTGTTGTGAAAAATAGTCAATTCTTTTAAGACTTATAATCTGTAACCACATACCAGTGAGTGAGGGAGATATGTGCATGTCTCCTCCCTTTCTGTCCTCCAGGAGACACTCAGCTTCAACCTGTGGGATTCCCAGCGTCATTGCTGTAGATGGAGGACTAGAGAGAGGACAGGAGAGAGAGAGTGGTGTTACTTAGAAGCAAGTGCTCTTAAATAATGTCTATATAGATGCATGCATACAAATGTATTTAAATTACTAGGATTCAACTTGGGGTGGTAGAATACAAAGGGCAGGAATCACTGTAAACTTCTCTGAGAGAGCCTTTTCCTCATATGAGTTTAAATGTTAAAAGTGGTTTCATACTTAAAAAAAATAAAATATAGTTTAATTGTTAATGCAGTCTTAAAATGACCCCACATGTAAAAACAATTTATTGTGTGAGGATTTAACTACATATATTCAATAAACTGTTAAGCAGACTTTAAATCCTTTGTATTTTTTGACAAAACAACACATTAGTTTGTATTAACAGAAAGTGTATTTAAAAAGTATAACTGCTACTTCCGGTTGAGATGGCAGGGACGCAGACAAATAGTGACAGACAACAAGTAATAACACAAATGATTACGTCTTTGTTGCACTGCTGTAAATCCTCCACGCACCATGAGTAACACTGTGTGGGATGAATGACTGGGCTAGTCTTGGGTTTACACTTTAGACATCTCCTAGGCAGCAGTGTGTGTATTATTACACTAAGAGAGTGAGGTAACATGAAAGAATAAAGGGAATGACTTGTGTGGGTTGAGGACAAGGAAGTGTTTGCACACGGTTTGGGCTTTTGAAAAGTAAGATGTTACATAACGTCCTTTTTGTCAAACTGCTGATTACATTAGAGTCGTATCCGCTGCTTAGGTTGGTCAGATTCAGATCAGGGTGAGAGGTTATTAGCTCTCAGATAAAACGGTGATCAATTCTCAAATAAAATAAAAAAAACATACATTTTAACTCAGTAGATGTCAGTTATATTAGACTAGAGATATATATTCAGGAAGCAGCAAACAGGATGTGATACAGACTATTTCCCCTGTGGTTAGATGCAGACTTTCCAGCGTGAGGTGTACCTTTCCTTTGAAACTAGAACTGTAATGTATCGGGGATGTATAATGTAGCAGACAAGTCGATGTTTCCTTGGTTACAAGGTTAGTTTTAAATTCAGATTCAGATTTTACGGAGGAGTAAAAGAAGAGATAAAGAAGAGATAAATAAGGTCAAAATGAACTCTTACGTTTTGAAACAGGGGTCTCCAGACATCAGTTGTGTGGTGATGATAACCTGTAAGAGAAAACATGGGGCTGATGAGGAATCACTCTGTGAGGAAGAAAAACACACTTTCCTGTACTGTGTGGATTAACAGAGATAGTAACTATGGCTTAGAGCAACAGTATATAAAAGTACATTGTAAATCTGTGCCCTAGGAAGAATCCACATATTTAAAATTCCTTCCCATGGCTCATGCAGTTAATGGATCACAAGCTCTGACATGTATTGCATCAACTAGCAAGACATTCAACTTTTCCACTCATGCAAAGTGTTTTTCAACTGCACATTGTCTATGTCTCTAGTTCAACCTAAGAAGTGGTGAAAGGATTGTAGGGTTATCTATCATAGGTCATTGGACTGTACTGAAACACTGTCAGTCATGAAAAGACTCCTCAGATCATTTTCAATTGTATTCAAAAGGGTGTTGCTGAGCTTTAACTTAAAAATACCTTTAGAATTGAGTTATCCTGTCTCGTGTTCTTGGTGTCGTAACCCTCCAGGAGACATCGCCGCGTCGTGCTGCCGGATCCAGCAAACTCAGACAGGTTCAAGTCAGCAAAGCCCAGCTGGAACCGGAACATCAAATGTCAACAAATGTCAACAAATGTCAACAAGTTGACAGGCAGTTGAAATAGTTCAATGAAATTTCAGAATTTTACTGAATATAATTTGTATAGAACATTTTCTTTATTTTAGGTGTCAACAAATCCAAAAGGTTTTGAACACTTAAAAAAAAGTGTCCCAGATAAAATCTTTACTCTGATGACCTTATTGTTGAATAACTTTTAAGGTTATTGGTTAACATAGTGTTGGTTTAGAATGGCAGAGTCTTCAATCAGTAATCACAGCCAGGAACTAGAAATAAAAACATTCTTAAGAAATAGACTCAAATAGAGCACTTGAAGGCCGACTGTTATCAGGTACATTTTTTTTAAATCAGTTCTAATGGACATCTGGTGAGTTTACATGAAAAAAACATCAACAGGAAGTTTTACCTTTGCAAAGGTTTTGCCACCCTTCAATTCCTAAAATGACAAAAAAAAAATGAGTGAGGTCACATTTCACTTTAGGGTATCATTTCCCACTTTATATTTTCCTTAAAACATTTGTGAACTTGCAGAATGATTGTTGCCTGAGTAAAGCATTTGTGGTTTGGTTACAAATTAACTGTGATTCTGATCTTATGTACATCAACACATACCCAGAACATTCAACAAGCCATCTTAACCAGACTGCATACTATGCATTTTTGTAAGAGAGCTAAAAAAGAATTTAAAAAATCCTGTACCTTACGCACAGACACCCGGCATACACAGGGGTCCAGTACACCTGTCACAGCATTGGCACTCATTTTACATATGAAAGAGAATCTTCTCTTCCAGTGAACACAGTTGGCTTGGACCTGCTCCCTGTGAGAAAAGCACATCAAGAAAACAACTTTATAAAGAGAATGAAACACACAGACAGACATACTGAATACTGACAGAGCAGATATCAGTCACAAATCTGACAGATCTGTGCATGGATTAGTGTGTGTGACTTAAAAATGTCTCGGGCCAACTCACAAATAGTGAAAGATTAAGTTGTCCATTCTTTTATTTTTACTCAGAATAAGGAAAATAAATATATTTTGAAATCTCATTTTATGAACAATTTTTGATCTTACTTTAGGCTTTTAGCTACCTCCTGCAAAGCTCTACCAGATCATCTATTACCCTGACCAAAAATATGCCAATTCCAAATGGACGGATGTTCACTCCTAAATCTGCAGAACACCTTAGTGTCTCTTTCTCTGCTATTTAAAAGAGAATAACTGAGTTATTGTTTATTAATGTAGTTGTAACTCATTTGATAGGATGCACATTGTTCTCCTGGATCTGTAAACAGTACAAATCTGTTCTGATGAACTGGATAATATGTCTCATACATCACAAGAGAAACTGGGAATTTGCTTGTGTTCACAGAGAAATAAGGTTGTGGTTTGAGTAGCCCTAAAATACAGTGTTTACAAAGTGTTATTTTAGAAACAGACAGTCACCATGGCAAAGAAATGAGGGTTTGACATGTGCTGGTACACGTTTTTCCACAGTGACTCACTGAAATGGTTCACAGGCAATTATAATCACAGGGCCAAGGGGATAACTTAGTATGCTCCTTTATATGCAATGGAGGAAAATACTTGTTTGGTCCCCACAGTTATGAAGAAAACAATAAATAAGTAGCATAATGTAAGCATTAAAGAAGAAATAAAATAAGCCTGATAACCAATTAGGCTATTTCTTTTAATGTACTTTCTCTGTGCCATCATCAAACTCTCAGATTTTGCATTATTATAGGATACTGATTTTAAGTCTTTATTAATATTATTTGTGGTTGTTGAAATTATGGTTATTATTATCATGTATGTTGACTAAAATATTCCTGCCTAATTCTAAATAGTTTTGACCAAACAAATAAATCTCTCTGCTGAACAAGTTTCTGCTCCCAGCAGCAGCAAGTCTGTAACTATCTGTCAGCTCCTTTCTTTACGAACTTGAGCAGGAAGCTGGTGTAAGTTTAACACAGGTTAACCAAGCCGGATGTTTAATAACTCAAATCTGAGGTTTAGCTAAACGTTAACTACTCATTTAGGGCGATGAAAACCCTGTCCAACAGCGAAGAAAACCCCGAGACAACAAATGCTTTCCAGGTGCCCAACGAAAACTCAATATGAAGTTTAACCTACATTTCCAAGCAGTAAACTGTTGCTATAAATAGAAAAAAAACATGTCTTACCGAGTCGACTCTTCAGCAAAACCTCCATGCAGGAGTCTTACTTTACAAAATAAAACTCCGTTTACGAAGGGAATTGATGACAGCTCTTCCAGGTCAAAGTCTACTTTAAATTTAAATCTCTTTTTCTTCATAAGAATGAACGACATGCTGTAGCCAAGACGTCAGAGACTGGGGCACAACAAGAGTGAAGTGGTAAAGGTGACAGACAGCTGTACACTTTCCCTGCTCAGTGTCTGCCGCTCACTCAGCTGTTGCTGGTCGTTGCTACAATGCAACAGTCTGCAGACACGATTCAAAGTTCAAATCTCCTCCCTCTGAGAAATACAACTCATGACGTCAGGGGTAGTCCTACGTTTGATTGGACACTGTGGCCACAAAATAAAGGGCACGGTTGTAAACCGGCTGAACCGTACTCAAAACGTCAACTGTGATAGGAGAATACTTTTCCTCTGCACCACAAGCGCAGGCTACTGAGTTAACGCACTTTAGTGACGCTGTACGTGTGAACAAAATAATGACTGCGGAAAAAATAAAGGAAGCTGGCTTATGACAAAGAGGGGAAATGCCAACACCACTGAAAAAACTATGTCAGTTATGATTAATATCCCATGTGAGACAATTAAAAATGCAGAACCTATATGAGCCACTCACATACCCTACAATGTATGCTTGGCTACACATAACCATAAATTATAATAGACTGTAAGAGGTTTATTATTAGATTCAATAGCCTACATGTTTATTTTTAATGGCTCATGTGGAAGTTCAACTTATGATAGTAACACAAACTTACAGACCCCAAATGTGGTTGAGGATCTTTAGCAAGAGCATGGCCACAATTCTTACACTTTGTATGTTGCTGAATATTTGGATTTTGTCTTAACAGACATTGCAACGTTGTTCAGATAAATGCTTTTGAGGAATCCGACACTCTTAAGGAATACATTGTTGTGAATAGTACTGTAATTGAATGGATGCATAGATATTATTAGCAAATACAGTATATCCCAAATTACCAACAAAAAGTCATTTTTGTGGGTCACATTGTGTAAGTGTATGATTTTTACTGATGTTTTAACATGTAAACTCTGTGCCACTTATACTGAACCAACTATGAGCCTCATAAGTATCTGACCAGGGACACATTTTTACATACATTTTATGCACATGTATCTACAAAACTTTATAGATGGAAATAAAAATATCTCAGACAGAATGTAACTTAATTACCATGTGCTGCTCTGCTGTGCTCGCAGACATTTCCCATTTCACCCTTAATTTTAACCTGTAAGAAGGTTCTCAAATCCAAACAGTTTTGGGGACTTTTGAAGAAGAGCTATCCATTAAGGAGTTCCCTGAGAACTTCTGTCTGCATTCACAATGCCATGGTACCTAAAGAAGAAGCTAAAACAGTCCCTCTAAATGAGGTTCTATTAAAATAGTTCATCGTTCATGTGGTGCCAAATAAATAAAAACGGAGGAGGGTTCAAACGGTTCCTAGAACTATGATAAACTTCTTGTAGTTTGAAAACGTCTGTAGATGCTTTATCTATAATCCTGACACATCTTTAAAACAGGGACCTTCTAAGGATGAGCTGGTAGAAGCTGGAAATACCTAGTTTCAACTTCACTTTTTTTTTTTAGACTTGAGAGAAAATGACCTAAAACAGGCCAGTCCTTTATAATGAAACACTTCAACATACAACATACTTTCCATATATTTGTTTTCGTGTTTTAGATTGTTTATCTATGAAAAATAACCATAGCTTACACATAGGCCAATGGTGAGCTTAAGATGTAAACTTTGGTGAGAGATCAAAAGTAGCTTACTTTTGGTGTTTTAATGTGTCATTGAAATAAACAGGCCACAAAGCGAAGTTTTATAATAATAATAAAAATACATTAAAAAGATTTTTGTGACGTGAACATTTCCATTTAACCAAACATCTGTAGAAGCCAGTGACACTTCACCGCTTAAGAAAGTAATTATTTTTCTTCCTAGCCCCATAGACTGTAGATAATAGGGGTTAGCTCCTTGACTGTAATCTTTAGTCTATGGGTAGCCCCCACATTTGGTGTGTGATTATACCGCCCTCCAGTGGCGACCAGCGACGCTGCGCAGCTGTTAACACTGATGTTTCCTTTCTAGATAAGGGGATTAAATGCACTGCACAATGCTACACCACGTATCACACGACACAAGGTTAAAAACAGATGAGAAAGTGACCATCTGGAACATGAAACGGATTATGCACACGCTTAACCCAGCGGGCTTTTTTATCACCACTTTTCTATTTTACTGTCTTCTCTGCTTACCCACAAGAGACGTCGCGTGGCGACGCAGCTCATAGCTCCGCCCCCGGTTGTTGCTGCAGCTCGTCTGACACACCAGAGAGATAACACCTCTGCATGGGACAGTCTGCAAAATAAAGTCACAGGAAGCATTTTATTTAATCGCGAACGCCGTGTTTCTGTTTGGATTCCATCTGGGTTTATGGATTACAGCCAATCTGGATTATTAATCCCATCCTGACTGCAGGAGGACGACTCGCCCAGACGCCGCTTCCACATTAGCGCTATAATGTATCACACGTTACGGACGTTTTTACTCTCAAACGCTCGGTGCTGGGATGCGGACAGTGAGAGGACATATCAGAACCTGTTTGATAGGCTGGATACCAATAAAGATGGAAAGGTGGACGTCGCTGAATTACGTGCGGGCCTCAAGGCAATGGGAGTATTCCGCCAGGGTGCTGCACAGGTAGAAACAAAATACCACAGGGGCCAGGGGGTCCTCCAGGGTATAGACAAGAATTTAAAGGCGCGCCTGCTTGTTTTGCATGGAATCCCAGGGTTGTGTGTGTGTGTGTGTGTGTGTGTGTGCGTGTGCGCGCGTGCGTGAGATAAAGATAAAGAGACTCACCCTGGGAAGAGGCAAATTAACCACCAGATGTTATCTCCTCTCTACAGAAAATTGTGTCATCTGGTGACCAAAACAAAGATGGGTGTCTCGACTTCAACGAGTTCTCTAAGTATCTGAAGGAGCACGAGAAGAAGCTGCGGCTCACGTTCAAGAGCCTGGACAGAAATAACGATGGTAAAGTAGACCTACCTAGGGTACACAAGTCACAAAGGTTTACAATAACATACCCTTTTATTTGTACTGCAGCATGGTTGAGTGAAGTTATTTATGTTGTCAGGGCGCATTGATGCCTCAGAGATCCAGCAGTCACTTGGAGAGTTGGGAATAGATATCAGCAGAGAGAATGCCTTGAAAATATTACATAGGTATGACCTCCATTTCTATTACCTGTAACATGTCTCTTTTTAATCTGTGACCTGAATTGCTGCTTGTATATAACTCGACTTTCACTTTATCTTTGTCATGGATATGTTTATTATACCTAAACACAACATAATACATTACAAATGTTAAGGGAGTTTCTGTAACTTTGCCTAGTATGGACATTGATGGAACAATGGTGGTGGACTGGAACGAGTGGAGAGAGCACTTCCTGTTTCGCTCGGCACACAACCTGGAAGATATCATACGCCACTGGAAACACACCTCGGTATGGGACACATGCAAACTCTCAAATACATCCCATAGAGAAATACAGATGAAACTGCAGTGGATTAAATCCTCTGTGTCCTCTAGTCCTCTTGTGTTGGATTTATGGATTTTCTCTGCAGTCCAGATTTTGGCAGCAGCTTTGAAAGACCGTCCAACATAATAAGGTCACATCACTACACTGTTTCCCTCAGCATGGTCGTTCACCTCGACTTAGTGCGTATAAAGATGTCACTGACGAGATATTTGCTCTATCTTAAGCTAAACAATGCTTCTATTGACTGGCAATATGTGTTAATGTGTAGAAATCGTCTCTGCACCGACAAATTTGTGGTGCACGGTGCAACATTTTTGAGCATTAATGTGTCATATGATCCCATGTGATGAAACTAATTGCATAAGCTGTTTCATGTCCCTGCAGAGTCGTGTTAAATTGCTGCTGCACAATGTTTGACAAAACCTCTCTGCTTTGGGGAAAACATTGGTCATGTTTATCTGAAACAGCTAAAGCGTGCAAGACAAGGGTCGGTCAGCACAGTGATTAAGATTTCACAAGCAAAAGGATAAGGAACTCAAATCATTGTTTGTTTTTTTACCACAAACTACTCCCCTAGTTTTTACACTCATTGTATAGTACTTTGGACAAGTTTGAACAAATACACATATTCTTATTCATTATTTGTCCTTGTGCTCACTTCCTGGAAGAAACCTTTTGTTCAAAGATTTGTAAATGTTGTGCTCCTTCACGAAGTGTACAACAGGAAATTTGGCAATGTAGAAAGAAAATGTAAGCCTGTGAGATTTTTTTTTGTCTCACTGACAACCAAACAAACGGACATTTTGTGACACGTGCCTTCCTGTGCAGACACATTCTTACAGGGAAAATATTTCTAATGTTAGACAGAACAGTATTTATTGTGGCCATGAACCGACAACCATTGAGTTTATGTATTTATATCCTTACGAGGGCAATTATGTTGATACACATGTCTTTAGTTTGACCTGTGTCAATAAACAAAGAGATTTGAGTAAATATGTTTGTGCTATCACTAGGTGCTTGATATAGGCGACAGTCTTGCCATCCCAGATGAGTTCACAGAGGAGGAGAAGAGCTCAGGCAACTGGTGGAAGCAGCTTGTTTCGGGCGCTGTAGCGGGGGCTGTTTCTCGCACCGGTACTGCTCCACTGGACAGAATGAAAGTCTTTATGCAGGTGAAATTCTTGAAGTAAAATCGTCTGATGTGTTTATCTCTAGGGGCTTGGGTTAACGACTATATCTGTGCTCCTAAATGTTTAAACTGCAGGTTCATTCTTCTAAAACCAACCGGATAAGCCTGACAGGAGGATTCAAGCAGATGATCATAGAGGGAGGTCTCACTTCTCTGTGGAGGGGAAACGGGATCAACGTTTTAAAGATCGCACCTGAGACGGCAATCAAATTCATGGCATATGAACAAGTAAGCTCTGGAGTGCATATTTCATATATTCGACAGTATTAATCTCAGTCTTATAACAAAACAAATATTTGGGAATCAAGATGGTTTATTTTCCAGCTTTTTTCGGTGTATTTATTTTGTAGTATAAGAGGTTGTTATCTTCAGAGGGTAAGAAGATAGAGACGCACAAGAGGTTTATGGCCGGCTCGCTGGCCGGAGCCACTGCACAGACGGCCATCTACCCAATGGAGGTGAGTCAACTGTTTGATCATACTGTCGTTCACGGGATGCATTCAAATAAAAATAAAGTCAGCGAAAGACTTCCAGATACCACACAAATCAGATTCCTTTTTCTTTTTTCACTCTTTAAGGTATTGAAAACTAGACTGACGCTGAGGAAAACTGGCCAGTACTCAGGAATGTTTGATTGTGCCAAACAAATCCTGAAACACGAGGGCTTGAAGGCTTTCTATAAGGGTTACATCCCAAACTTAGTGGGCATCATTCCCTACGCTGGGATAGACCTCGCTGTCTATGAGGTACGCAGGCTTTGTGGAGTATTACGCCTCTTTGATTACGTTTGACAACAGATTTCACATTCATTTAATCAGAAATGCAATTATTTCTGCTTGTTAATGGACAGAAGTTTCATTTATTTCCAATCTCATTTGGTTGTTTCTCCTATGACTCAGAGTCTGAAGAACTTCTGGTTGTCGTACCACACCACAGACTCTGCTAACCCTGGAGTTCTGGTGTTGGTGGGCTGTGGGACCATCTCTAGCACCTGTGGCCAGTTGGCCAGCTATCCGCTCGCACTTGTACGCACACGGATGCAGGCAAAAGGTAAACTAAGGCTAATATTTGACTTCAGAGATGACAAAACTTACATTATTACACAGTTCATGTCAATTTTTTTAATTTTCTGTAAACCATTTGAGTCCAAATAGTATCAGTATGCTGCACGTAGGATGAGATCTCTTTCACTTTCAGTAAATATTAGTAGCTGCCTGCAACCTTAAATGTAAAGTACCAGAATAATAAGAATACTCACTGCCCCCCCTCCCCATCTTTTTGTCTTCACAGCATCTCTGGACGCGTCAGACCAGCCCTCCATGAGCAGTCTGATAAGGACAATCGTAGCTAAGGATGGATTTTTCGGACTCTACCGAGGCATCCTACCAAACTTCATGAAAGTAATTCCTGCTGTCAGCATTAGCTATGTGGTTTACGAGTACATGAAGACTGGCTTAGGAATCTCCAAATGAGGCTGCAAGCAAAAGACAAAATAGCATTCTACTGTATCCGTCAGACTTGAAAATGGCTGGGGAAAAAAACATCAAGAAAACAGATGGACATCACACATACAGAGCATGATTTCTGTTACCTGGATTTATAAGGAATGAAAGATATTGCACATAGGATTGTTTGTTGGAAACTTAGGCAACTTATGTTGTGAGCATGCTTTAAGTCTTAACATATTGTTACATAAAACATGAAATGTACACGCCATCCACATTTATGCTTGACACAAAGATGGCATGTACATAAAAACATACATAAAGCGTTAATATGATTGGTAGATTAATTTATCCTACTGTGATCAAACCAAATAGTAGCTAAATGGGGAATACTCTTGTGCTTTTTGTTAAAAAATAAATAAATATTTTCCTAAAAGAAGATAAAGTTTATACACAGCTCTGTTAATGTTTTGTCAGAAAGAGGAATAATGACACTATGCCAGTTTAAATATGAGTCTGCATCCTTCAAAGGTATTTAACACTATTAAGTTTGAAGTACTTGTTCTAGAGTGACATCCGCTCCAGAAAAACAGTGCTCAGCTCCTAACTAAAAATACATCGCCCTGAAAAGTCTATAACCTGTCAACACTGGAAACTGTATGCATGAAGACATGTATGATGTGAATTCACAAATTCCATTTTGTGTGTCATTTTATGATAACTTAAATGTGCCTTACAACCACTTCATGTGAACTCTCTGATTTCAGCAGATGTGTGTTTATATATAATATAATATATATATATATATATATATATATATTGATGACAGCTACACTGTGGTAACATGTTTAAGTTAACAGGAAAAACTGGTAATTTTACTGAATTACCTGCAAGGAGCATGTTTTTGTCTTGTGTCATTTCTCATTTCAACACACCAAGACATATACCCCTAAACTCACAAAAACACACACACACACACACACACACACACACACACACACACACACACACACCCAAACTAGATACATCTTACATTTTGTGTCTCGTTCTTTAACATCCGCAGGGCTGGGGAATCCTTATCTTCATTGTAAGATGACAATTGTTCGTCATTATTAGAAGGTTAAAATAATGTGGATTTACAGAAATTAAATCTGGTCTTGATTCAATAGTTTTTAAACTGACTATGTTTCACATGATCTTCATTGGCTTACTGGTAAACAATGGTTCAGTGGTGTCAAGTTCAGCTCCTCAGAGTTAGGAATCATTCTGATCCAAAGACAACTGACATTTGTTAACAGCTCCACCTGGTGGTTGAGATTAAACACATGGACACAACTCAAACATGATGTATTATGTATCATTGAAATGTAAGAAAAATAGTGAAGATCTTTTATATATATATATATCACTTAGAGGCACATAGAATTAATTCCAATGTCTAGGTTTACAAAATGGAAATTAGCTGGCCATAAAAGAAGTCTGATGGAGTTTAACTGGGCAGTAGACTAGTGGGTAGATAGATACACAGATACTGTTGTGACAAAGCAGACAAATAAATAACCTATTGGAAGAGCTAAGACTAAGAAAATCATTTATTTAAGTGAACAAGATTGTCTCTCCGCAAGAATCAGAGGACAGCAAAATTTGTTAAGGCCTATATCGTGTTAAAACTACATGCTGGTCTAATGGTGAGCAAATTATTTTCTATTATTAAGACGTGTGTTTTAAATATAAACAAGGTGCCAGGGAGTGTATTAACAATAATAAACAGTCTCACCCCCCCACACACACACACACACACACACACACACACACACACACACACACACACACACACACACACACACACACACACACACTACAACACCTAAAACAGCTGAGCAGACAGACAAATAATCTTGGCACCAATGCAACCACATATTTATAGACCCACATGCACTTACACACTAATACACCATTGTAACTGCGTATCATTCGTAAACACTCTTCTGTTTCGGGCTCATAATGTTAGATAGTTGGTTGTGTTCTAGGTTAAGAGCCCTTAGTTAAAGTGAGCCACCAGGTTTGTCCTTCGCCCGCACCGTAGTTGGGGCACCGACCGCTGCGCTGCAGTTAGGTTTTGCCTTCGCTAAAAATAAAATACATTTTAAAAACACCAGCGAGTATCGGGTAAGTCGAATTTAACCTTTGTTAATGAAGGTCTTGTATTTCCTCGAGTTGCCATTACCGACACTGATGTATTAACAGCGTGTTAGTTGTTGGAAAGTGTGAGCTAGCAGCTAACTAGCTAACTAACTAGCGAGCAGCAGCTAAAAATATTCTCCTGCAGAAGTGACCTGAAGAGGACACAGCTGATCAACCAGAGGAGATACTTGGTAACTTTGGCAAGCTCTGACTTACTGCTTTTAACTACTGGCATTGTGTGTACTTTATTTAGTTTGGGAAGTGAAAACTTGTTGAGTGTTAATTAGCTAGTGTGCGATAACAGATGGTGTTAAGTCTGACTGGATGAAAACTGTATTAACACAAGTTTCACAACTAGTCTGAACCTCAGGCTGTCTAGTCTTCACCTCAGGCTGTCTAGTCTTCATCTCAGGCTGTCTAGTCTTCATCTCAGACTGTCTAGTCTTCATCTCAGTCTGTCTAGTGTTCACCTCAGACTGTCTAGTCTTCACCTCAGACTGTCTAGTCTTCACCTCAGACTGTCTAGTCTTCACCTCAGACTGTCTAGTCTTAACCTCAGTCTGTCTAGTCTTCATCTCAGACTGTCTAGTCTTCACCTCAGACTGTCTAGTCTTCACCTCAGACTGTCTAGTCTTCACCTCAGACTGTCTAGTCTTCACCTCAGGCTGTCTAGTCTTCATCTCAGACTGTCTAGTCTTCATCTCAGACTGTCTAGTCTTAACCTCAGACTGTCTAGTCTTCACCTCAGACTGTCTAGTCTTCATCTCAGACTGTCTAGTCTTAACCTCAGACTGTCTAGTCTTTGTCCTCAGACTGTCTAGTCTTTGTCCTCAGACTGTCTAGTCTTCACCTCAGGCTGTCTAGTCTTCACCTCAGGCTGTCTAGTCTTCACCTCAGGCTGTCTAGTCTTCCGACAAGCTTTTAGCTTTTCTGTGAAGCCATTTGGTTGGGGAACAAGACCGCAACCATGATGTGTACATCAAGGTGTCCTGAAAATGTTAACCTTAAAGGGTGTCAGGGTACCGGATGTTAACTATTCTAAAGCTGTATCCTGTGACACTTAAAGGTTTTAATTCCTGCTGTCACAGACATATAACAAAATTTGCCACTACCACTGTGGTCACAAATACATTGCAAATGTTTCAAGTTGCTAACTTATTAGTGCAATTTAGACAATAGGCTATGCAGGACTTTATTTTCTAATTGAAATCAAGAAACTATTTTTGTTGCTGTGGTATTGAAGCAGGCATGAATAGCGAAGGATTTTTATTAGTCTCGTATGGAAGTTTGAAAATCTGGTAATTGACAAACCTTTCATAACAGTGGTTTTACATGCAAAGAGCACCTTCTCAAATATTAAATCTTTACCAGGTTAAGGTAAAGATTAAGACCTTAGACTGATTCTTCCTTACTGCCTTTGTTGTGTTTTTGATGTTTGTAGGTTTGTACATAAAACAACAGAATTAGAGTCCTTATGTCTGTGGTTTGTGCCCCCTTATTTAATGTTTTCCCCCCCCTATAGCATCATAAATTATGGGCAATACAAGCGATAGGGTGGCAGGAGATCGCCATGGAGCCAAGGCCCACCGCTCAGACAGCAGCGGCAGTCACAAAGACCAGGAGCCCAGCAGCAAGATGGTGGACAGCACAGATGACCCCAACATCTTCAACACCCATGGGCCTGAATCCAAGGTGCAGCAGGAATACAGATTATTGAACAGGATGTTGTTCATTCTGCAGAGATACCGTTCACATTTCCACTCCTTTTGTGTATATGTTTTCCCAAAATATCAGCTAGTAGTTTAAATATCTGTTTTCAGGTGTTAGAAGAGAAGGAATTCACCCCCGATCTGGATAACCTAGTGAAAACTGGTCCCCAAGCTCGACCAACAGTCATCCGCTGGGCTGGAGGGGGGAAGGAGGTCTACATAGCTGGTTCCTTTAATAACTGGAGCACAAAGATACCTCTTAATAAAAGGTAACCAAGTTTTTAAACATCAATCTCACTCTCACATTCTCTGTGGGTTCCCATATAAATAATCTCAGGAGGTACATAATGGCTCCAACAATGTTTTCACGGAGAGGAAGATCAACTTTTGCTCTAATACTCTTTTTTTTTTTTTTTTTCCTGTCCTGTAAAGCCATAATGACTTTGTAGCGATCCTGGACCTGCTAGAAGGAGAGCACCAGTACAAGTTTTTTGTCGATGGACAGTGGGTCCACGATCCTTCAGAGGTACATCAGTCTCATTTTGTTTCATTGTCTTCTCTTGGTAGAATTAGGTCTGTTCATGAAACACTTAAACTCATCACACAGATTCCATCCAGGCCTGAGACATAAGAACATCTAATGAATTAAGACTTTATTTAAAGATGTATTTTTGGGCTTTCATGCCTTTTATTTGAAAGGACAGTGGATAGAGTAGGAAATCGGGGGCGAAAGAGTCGGGGAATGACATGCAGGAAAGGAACTGCAGGTCGGACTTGAACCTGGGCCTCCCGCTTGGAGAACTAAAGCCTCTGTACATGTTGCCCTACCTAGCTGCTAGGCCATCTTCACCCCATGAATGTACGCATTTGAAAAGGAATAATTAAGAAATTGAGAAAAACATACTTTCTAGACTATCTAGAAATGTGAGAAAAATGTTGTAAAGAATAATCATTCAGCTGTCTCGGAACATTTGTCCTCTGCAGCCAGTTGTTACCAGCCAGCTCGGCACCATCAACAACCTGATCCAGGTGAAAAAGTCCGACTTCGAGGTGTTTGATGCGCTGCACGTTGACTCTCTGGAGTGCTCGGACACATCAGGTCAGCCTTTGTGCTTCAACTTTCTTTTGCACATTTTTCCTCATTTAGCCAATCAAACAAACGGGTAACAAGAATAGCAATTTTCTCAATACCAGAATCTGATACAGTTTATTTGGATAGTGTGAACTTGAATTAAAGATAGAGTCAGTAGCTTTTTCCTAATAAATAAAATCTAGACTAATACAAAAGTAATGCCGCTCAGTTATCAGTTATGGGCCTCCATACATGTGTGGTGGTGACTGTGTCCACTTTTGATTTTGATGTTATGTTTTGGTTGACCCAAGACGTTTCTGGGAAGGGAGTTGGTGTATTGCTCTCAGCCAACGTGCTCAGGTGAGTTTAGGAGTGGATACAATTCAGTCATTGGATGTGATTCAAACCACCGAATCTGACGGACGTGGATGTAAATGCATAGAAGAGAAAATGTAGACATGTCAAGCACATAAAGCTCGTTCCAAAACAAGGGTGAACCTTGTGTTGGCTTTCCCCTGCAGAGTTGGTCTGCTTTCTTTTTTACAGGCGGTTGCCAACACAGGTGATTAGCTTGTGCTAGCATGCGGTATTTTACGGTGTAGGTACAGTAAGTAAACATACACACTACTACCTGCAGGGAGTGTGAGCTCAGGGGGAGGGGCCCAGTTTGATTGTTGTGTTTACAAGATGCATAAAATGATGCTACTGACTCTACCTATAAATGTGAATAGTTTGTGGGCAAAAATGTGAGAGCTCTTTGTGTATTCTTGTGTGTGCTTAACAACTTAAGTTACAGATTGACCATCTTAATAGTAAACATTGGAAAATTAAATCAAGTCGTGCAGCCATGTTTGTAGTTTAATTGTGACTGTTTGTTTGTTTGCAGATCTGTCCAGCTCCCCTCCAGGTCCATACGGGCAGGAGCAGTATGTCTTCAGACCTGAGGAGCATTTCAAAGCCCCTCCTATTCTCCCCCCTCACCTCCTTCAAGTTATTCTCAACAAGGACACCAATATATCGGTCAGCATCTCCATCCTGATTTGAACTATTCTGTTGTTGTTATTTACCTTTTGTCTTGTTGGTTTGTTACTGTTCTTTTTGTTTTCTCCTGGCAGTGTGACCCTGCCCTGCTGCCTGAACCAAACCACGTCATGTTAAACCATCTTTACGCTCTCTCGATAAAGGTAAGTTCACTGAAGAAAGCTGACAATTTCTCCCAATCTTTATTCTTTTATATAATTTATTTTCTCAACTTGAATCCATAGCCTATACGTTTAAAAAAACGTTTTTTTTTTGTTTTTTTTTACAACTTCAAATAAAATGCCCATACATGCTGTGTGCATTAGTTGGTGGTTTTAAAAAAAGGAAAACATCTCTGTGGTTTTGTATCCCACTTGGATCTCCTGTGTGTTGTGCTCTTTTCTGTGTAGGATGGAGTGATGGTGCTGAGTGCCACTCACAGGTACAAAAAGAAATACGTCACCTCTCTGCTTTACAAGCCGATATAAACCTCACCTTGGGAGTTCCCCACTGCTTTCAGAGAGTTTGTTTCATCACATTTAGCTAGATCTTGCACAGAAACAAGTTTACAGGCGGAGCTGAAAGCCAGCGGCTGAGATTCTGCCTTTGTTTTTTTTAAAAAGGTTTTCACTTCGTTCTACATAGGGCTCTGAACAAAAGTAATAACGTGTGTGAGTGTGTGTGTGTGTTTAGGTTGTCGCAGACAGTTGAGATCCACATTTTGGCTTTTACAGACACTGACTAAGAGGCTGAATGAAACACTGTGTATTTGCTGCACCTTGTGAACATTTGCATGTCTGCGTGTTAAACATTTGCTCCGTGGTGGATTTTTTTTTGTATTTTCTTCCAAAGTGAGGGCTTTCTGTGTATAATTGATGTGTATCAACAGTTTTTTTTTCATCATATCCTCTGAAAGAATTAACTGGAGAGCATCTATAGCCGGTTAGCATGCAGGATAACAGATGGATTATTTAGCCTAAAGCCACATCAGTATATATTAACAGAGTTGCAGACTGGGTGTATGAGTGCTTGAGTATGAAGTGCAATAACCTTTATAGGTTTCCAGTACCCTTTTTCATTTCCAGTGGCAACTCTGAAACCTAGACTCAAGTATCACTCGATATTAAGTTCATCTCTCACACCAGTGCAGATTAAAAAAAAGTTATGACAAATTTTTGTCAGCTGTAAACATTGTAAAATGAAGAGGTTTAATGATTACTATGTTTCTTGTACTACCCAGCTCTGTGCATCAAAATATATTTATCCTAAAAAACAAGCTAGGCTCCTCAAAAACTCATTGAGCTAACATTAGCAGCCTCTCCTGAGGTCCTGTGTCTGCCTCTGCGTCACATGAAACTGCTTAGTATGTGTTTTCCCCCTCTCCCATTTTGTAAAAATATACTTTCTATTTAAATAAAAAACAACCTTACATTTGTGATAGGAATTGATTGGTCTACTCCCTTGAACCTGAAACCTCCTTATTGGCTGAATTGGAGGTATTTTTAATCCTGGTATCAGACCAACCTTGTTGAAAACTTTCTGTGAAGGGAACAGAATTCTTACTCTACAAAAACACACTGACAAACCATGTTTTGTCAGCATTATCATATTACATGGTATTATATGTGTCTAACAATTCAGCCTCATTCAATGGAATCTACAACATGGATGTAACCATATTGGAGATATCAGTTTTGTGACAGTAATGGTCACAATAGATGGAGTATGTATCTTGTTTAAACATCACTTATTTCTGCTGTTGCCTTTTTTTTTTTTTTTTTACGTGTTTTTGCGAACACTTAACCATCCTGTGAGCAGGAGTGTGGATATAAGCTTTGATCTATGCAGCAGACAGTTCTTGAATCTAAAACACAGTTTGTGCTTTTTATTTATTTATATTTTAACTGTTTGAGTTTTGCAGTGCTTTGTATAAGATGTGTATCTGTCTATCAAATAGTAATGTACTGTAAGTTTCTGTTACATGGATAGTCCACTCCACAGTGTGATCTTGCTGCTTTGCATGCGTCAAATGTCTGCAACATGTGACGATATATGACACATTTATTGAGTGTGGAACACTTTCAGTAAAAAATCAGCTGCACATAATGTGTTCTGTAACCAGAGGCACATTGTCAGATGAGTTTTAAGGGCTTTGAAAATAGATAGTTGCCAAGAATTTGAGTGTTCAGTTTGCTCACATGTCTGTTACTTATAGCATAATTAATGTGCATTTAAAGGTACAGTGGCTTTAAAGGTTGTGCTGTTTAAATGTCAGCACTTATGGTACAGTATAAAACTATGGAAGCCCAGAGAGACTATTCTTTCAATTATTTTTTTAAGCTTATAAGTGAGAGATAAGGGCATTAAAAAAATGAATCCAAGCGAGGGTTTTCTCCGCTTCCATATACACCCACCATATTCTTCAGAATTGTTAATGGGCTTTCATTAGGAGTATTATTGCTGAGAAGCTCTGAAAGTATTTTGTGAATGTCCAGCCTTACCATTTATTTGTCCAGTTTCCAATATTTACAGACAAAAAAATTAAACTTGGGACAAATGTTGTGGATGCCAGGCGGTGTTTTTAGGCTTCAACCAAAACTTGAATTTTCATGAATGTTTCAAAAATGCTTCGCTGAACCAGTGATGTGATTTACTGTAAGAGGTTATACTTGTTTGCAAATAAAGAGAGAGTTTGGTGGTCCCCCTTCGTGTTGTGTTTTTTCCCCCCTCTGCAACCTTCCAGATATTTTTACTTACTTTCCCATTTACTTAAATTTCAGATTAAAGTTCACAAATTATTTTCCTTTTCAACAAGTTGAAATAGGTCTCAGGACAAACAAACACCAAGCTGAGGGAGTGTCACCCACCTGGGGGCGGGGTTACAGCCCTTTGTGATGTCATGAAGGGAAAATCTCTAAACGGCCTGTTTGAGGACACATTTTCTGAAAAGTGGAGCAGCCAAATAATAATGACTTGGAGGTTTGTAGACAGGCTAGGGACACCTATTAGTGTGTGAAAAACATGTTGAAGTGAATTTTGTGTAATATGTCACCTTTTAATAGTAGAATTGACAAATAAAAACAACATCTTATCTTAACTAAATATATATTGTGCAATAAAGGCAAATGAAAACAATCATGAGTGACGATGAAGTGTGAAAGTACACTGTGTGAGAGGCCATTCGGGCATGGCCAGAGTGAACTTACTATTAAAGACCCAAACTGAAAACTTTTGATTGACTTCCAACAAGCAGAAGTTCATAGGGAGGGATCAAATATTTAAAAAATAACATAAAACAGGAGTAAACACACGCTTTAAAAGTGTTTTATTCGATCTGTCTCAAAATCTTTCATTGATAATACTTCTGTCAACAAAGCAAACCGTTAACTGTCTTCAGAGACAGGATTCAAAGGAGTCCTGCATCGGCTTTCTAGTTCATTACAAACCCAGAAGAAAAAAAAGCTGCTTTCCAACCACATAGAAGCTGCATCAATCCAATAGCACTATATACATACGTAACTCAGGTTCAACACTACATCATTTCAAACTTCTGTTTCATTCCCTTTTTAGTAACAAATAGCAAAAAGGCTTTGTTTACGCTCTTACAAGGTGCTTTAAGAATCCAACAATCTTTCCAGTTGCTGGCTTCATTCTAATCAGTAGACAATTCTTCAAAACAAGTTCCCTTTAACTTCTTTTATTTCAAAAGGCAATATCAAACTTTCCACAAGGATTGAAATACTTGGCATCTTTTAGTCTCTTTCTGAAGCCTCGAGCGCAAACAAAACCTTATTCCAAAAATCTCAGGTAGACACCGCTAGTTGAAGGCCATTTCTACCAGCGAGAGCAGAGTGAATAAGCTCTAGCTAAATTCAAAGGCAAGCGAAGCAACATTTATCAGAGCATTGTTATAGGAGGAGGATATTGTGATCAGTGACTTAGATATCATGAAGGCATAGTTTGTGGTTTCTTATCAGCCTATGTGACTAATTGATTTCAAAGTGACACAATCCTACGAACACACACTGCATATAACTCACACTTTGCAGAAGGTGAATGTGGCAAACATACTTGTAACACTTTGATCTTTAACATCAAATTAAAGATATCAAGCTATTGCACAGCTACCCAGAAAATCAACTTTGCAAAAAGCAAATGTTGGATGGTATTCACATGCGCGCACACACACACACACACACACACTCAGACGAAAATGTCATACAGAAAAAGCGAATTATTAACAGCATAAAATGGCAAAATGTACAGCAAGACACATCAAACTAAAAGTGAAGCTGAATAAACGAGTGAATTAAAGAACAATGATCCCACCAGTAGCCTGCCAAAGTTTGCATAATCTATGAACTTCATTACCTATGTTGCCATTGCCATGGGAATGCTAATGCCACCTGAACCAAGATAAATAACATTGAGACAATAACATTTGGCCTTGTGGGAAAGTAATCCACTCTTCTGAGTTTTGGTCCAAAAAAAAGGAGCTCATTTCTGTCGCACAATTTGAAATAATCTAACGGTTACCATCTCTGTGGTTTTGGAGGTCCTCTAAAAGAAGATACCTCAGAATCCCCGCAGTCTGATCAGACCTGGGTTTGTCATTCGCATGGACAAGGCAAGTCAAAGTGAAAGTTAAGATTTCAAAGTTCAAACTTTGGCAAGTATTGGCTTCGATTTTGTACCATTTTCTATCTCTGTCATGCATCAAAACTTCAGACTAAAAGTACAATCGTTATCACAGATCCTGTCCTACACAATATGATGAGAGTGACTAATAAATCCAGTGACAAGCAAAGAAAGAATAAAATAAATCCAGTGCAGCATGATCATTCAAGAAACAACATCATTATTGCACATGCTCGTATGAGAACTCCTACAGAGGAGCTTGAATACGCGTTTAGCCTGTTTCCTGTGTGGAGCACACAACGTCTTTTTCTTTAAATATATGGTGTACATTCTTTTAAAATCACAACAAATCACATTGATGAAGGTCGTTGCATTAAAATTGACCTTCTTGTATTTGACTCAATCAGTAGTGTAACATTCAGTAGTAAGATGCCAAAAAGAAAAATCTCCAGGACCTAAAAGGAAAATAAAAGGAGGCATTTCACTCCAATGGAACCTTTTTCTGCCTTCTCTGATGGCAGATGAACAACTGTTAAGCTTCCTACTCATAGTCAGATATAGCTAGTACACAACTACTCTACATTCCTTCATGGTGTGTAGTGATGCATTGATGAGAGTCACTGTTTTTTTGCATTGCACTTGCAAAAAAAAAAAAAAATTGTCCCTGTTAATAAAAGTACCACAAGAAGTAAACTTGCATTTCTGTGGCAGTCAAAGTTTGAGGATGTGTTGTCTTTGAGTGAACTGTGTTCCACCACACGTGGTCGCTATTTTTTTTTTACTATGTGTGTTCATGTGTGCAGAATTCCTCTCACAAGCCAATATTTAACATGCATGACCATCTTTTCTGTCCACAGTCTGTCTGGCTCTCAGGGGAAGATGCTCAAAGCTACAGATCCAGGGTTTTTGTCAAAGACTTGTTTTTTATGTCGCAGATTTCTCTCCAGTCTATGGATTGTTATTAAGGTACGTTTCTCAATTAGGTCCTTTATTGTTCAATTTTCTGTTATAAAACGCTTGCTACAAACCTGATTTAAACCACACACCTGGTCTGAGATCAGTGTCTAGGAGCATCTTTCACCAGCTCCATCAGTAGGACACACATCACTTAAAACCACCAGAGACACGTTTCAAACACTTTCTTCTGTCACACACTCGACAAGGCAAACTGCTGACTGTGACACTCAAAGACAACACATCATGTGTGAGAGGGGGGAGGCAGATAATAAGCTCAGGTGGGGGATGAGGGGAGTTTAATAAGGCTAAAGGTGCAGATTATACGGTGCACATGTTGCCTGGAGAAGGGAAGGTCGGAAGCACTCATGGCTGGACGAAGTTAAAGGCAGAGGTAAGGTGGGACAAAGGGTAAAAGGCAAGTGTGGGGGAGGGGTGGTGGGTTGTGGCTGTTTTCATTTAATTAAGAGGTCAGAGGTGGTGGCATTTACGCTGGTTCTTTAAAACAGTCTAAAGCAGGCATTGGCTGCTGCGCTTCCTCGCTGCTGGACGTTGATTGGCTGCAGTTCCAGGAGCACAGCTGATCTTCAGGAAACTGTGATCAGCAGGCCGCTCTCTGGCAGCACCTCCTGGGTCCTCAGCTGGAGAGAAAAAAATAAAAGTGAGAATTCAACAATCCTAAAGGCTGATAAAAGTGGCTTAAGGGTGGTGAAGTGAAATGTTAAAGGAAACATATTAACAAACTTGGTAATCTCTTCTTGCAAAGAGTTAGACGAGGAGTCTGTACGCTAACATGAAGCAAGGAAACTTAGCTTAGCTTAGCTTAACCACTGGAAACGAGTGGTTTGTCTGGCTTTGTATAGAGTTAAAACTCTGCTACAAGCACTTTTGAAGTTCATAAATTACAACAATTGTGAATGTGTTTGTTCGATCGGAAGTTTTCAAAACCAAGTGGTCACTTGAAAAACGGCAAGTGCAAAAACCTACAGCTCACCACAATCTCCATGCACTTGCATGCACATGCTTCATCATGTTTTCTGCTTGTCAGTATGCTAAGCTAGGCTAATTGTCTCCTGTTGGGAGCTTCCTAATCGTGTATGTATAGACATGAGATGTTCTCATCTAACCGTCAAAAAATATTTTTCCATAAAATGTCAAACTACTATTTGAATGCCAAAGTAACAACAAGAAGTAGTTTGCTTTTTTATTATTGAAGTGGGAATATTGTTCCCATAATAGAACTGCTTGGAGATGAAAAGCTGAGTGAGTGGTTAGAAAAAAAAAGAAATGCTGTTATTCAAGTCCTCTGAACGTTACACACACACACACACACACACACACACACACACACACACACACACACACACACACACACACACACACACACACACACACTCAGTGTTTATTGCACAATGAGTAGCGGGCAGTAGTAAAACTCTTGTTGGACCTGTCGCATGTTTTCATGTATAACAACAACACCACACACCGTATGGAAACTATGCAGTGTGCAGTAACTTTAGCTTTAACTGTGAGGTATAAATAGACTCACTCTTTAAACATGTGACATTAAGAAGTAAACAACACTTCAGTAAGAAACTTTACTACAAAACATGACTTAACACACGACGGTTGCTGCCAGATGGGATGGTAAAGCATTGATGTTAGCATGGTTAGAAAAAGGAAATCCACACAGAGGTAAAAGCTGCCTCAGACCACAGTCATCATTTCTGTTTACACAATAAAGTGAGGGTCTGGGACAACGTCTACTCATATGCAAGATCACAAGATGTCAGACAATTTACCAGCATAAGAAGAGGAGGAAGAGGAGGAGCTTAGAGAGGAGAGTCTCAGCTCGTTCTTCTAGGAGGTTTAAAGGAGGAAGAGGAGGAGGAGGAGGAGGGACAGGTGTAGGACGAAGGAACAAGTGAGACACAAAAGCCAAAAAGTGATGAATGTACATCAGAAACATCCAATAGAAGGACACTAGGTACAAAACATAGAATACAGGAACACACAAAACTGTGATTTATGGAGAATGCCCGCAGAGAAACGGCATTATGAATGCTATCCTGCATAGTAAGAGTACAAGAGGCAGGGGTTTAAGCTCACCTCTAAATTAGTTCTTGCTTTCTTCAGCACATCACGAGTCCTAGACACTGCAAGAAAACAAGACATATGTTCAAATGTCATCATTACAAAACTACAACAGAAAGCACTCTGTCATATCAAAGCAGCCAGGTTCACAACATTTTTGCGTTTGTGCGTGAGAATGAATGAACAATCTTTTGAGGTTTTAAAGAAACCTGCAGCAGACAGAGTCCCAACCTGGAATTTGTCTGCACATCCAAGAATACAGTAGATTAGAAATATTGTGTGCTGGGAATCCCTTTCTCCCTCCTCTCCTCACAACTTATTAGGTTTTTGTTTTGACACTCACAATTCCTTCGTATTATCCCTTGTTCACAATAACAACCCCACACACCTCGACTCTCCAGATCAGTTTGCTCTGTTCGCTGTCACCACGTTTGTTGCCTGTTTATGCAGCCGACATCTGATTATCAGAGCTAATTCATCCAGTGTTTCACAGACTCCTTTTAAATGATTAAAACAATGAAAGTGTTGTTCATGTGCAGCATGTTCCCTAGCTCTGAATAACATGGACTAGTGCATTGTATGAAATAATTACACTAAAGCATGAAGTATTATTTGTATCGGTCATTGTTTCTCTAAATAGTCAGATAGGGATACAAGTCGCTCTCATGTTCTCTGTCTCTCTCTCACACACACACACAGACATGCACAGAAATACTCACATTGGTTGACTATGAAGTGCTCCATGCTCTCCTTGGTGCGGCTGGTGCTCCTCAGTCTTTGAATCGTCCCTCTAAGAGCCTCCTCCTGCTCTGACACACGCAGCTTCAGGGACAAGATCTCTTCATGCATGCATTGCTCCTACACACACACACACACACACACACACACACACACAGATATATAAAATGATATTCATCATTGAATTCTACTTGTTCTGGTTGAAAAGTTTTTCAAGGATAAGTCTGCTGATTTTTCTTAAGTTTGTTTTTTTCAACAAATCCTATCAAAGCGTATTTGTGGCATTCAAATACGCCACAAATACATATCCTGAGCCACACTGCTACTCTTTATTATTCCAGAGTCATCCTGCTCTCACTAACACAGTATATTCAGCAAAAGACAGTCGCATGGATCAAATGTACACATCTGATAAGAATTTGAAAAATTCGTTTTGGTAAATTGTTTGACCTTGTTTCAAAAGTGTATTATATATTAGTGACCAACACAAATACAAATAGATTTTATGTTTTTGTCTTTTCGTGTGAATTGTTTAAATGAACACAAATATAGTAAATCCACAGTCTTAGATTTTCAAAGCTCAGATTTTTTGTTTGACAAACCTTCTTCAGGTTTTGGACGGAAGAATCAGTGCTGGGCAAAGCTGCTCTCCAGAACATTTTCAGCAGAGACATCGCCTCCTCCAGGATCTGCCTCAGAGTCTTCGTGTTGGAGAGAAGACTCTTCACGCAGCCGAAGTCTAAGATCTGCATACAGAGCTCAGTGAGATCCTGATCGTTTCTTGTTATTGTTGTAAAAAACAAAAAAAAAATTTATTTTGCTGCCTGGTTCTCACCAACTCATTGCTCTGCTTCTGTCCCGCCTCTTGCAACTGTGGGCCAAGGCAGGCCTGAAGAGTGGTCTCCATGCGCTGCACCAGGCTGCAGCCCTCGAGGACTTGCTGCTGCAGAGAGCTGAAGTCGTCCACATGACCGATGGCGTGACGGCCGTTGCGGTTTGCGAAGGATCCGTCAGGGGCATCCCCCTCCAGCTCAGAGTGAGGGTCAAGAGGGTCTGCTGGACATAAATGATCGAAGATTGATTTTTGAAGGACACTGAGGAACATCATTGTACTTTTTAAAATGCAAGATTCGAGAAGGCAGGCAGGATAGAATAAAAACATGAGTTATTAAATAAGAGAGGTGGAAATGAATTATAGATGAAGCAACAGTCATGCAGGTCAGTTTGTTTCACACCATTGGCAGTGCTATGGCAGTCGTCCAGGTCTGAGTAGGGAGGACCAGGAGATCCACAGTTAAACAGACCAATGTCCCTGACAGGTGGAGACGGAGCCGGGTCTGTGGAGCACACAGATACACAAACCAGGCTTGGACTCACAGCAAACCACACCACAGCACACTGCGCCTCACAAAGATTTTGACTAGTATTTTGTTAGCGTTGTGTTCTCGAGTCCTCGGTCTCACCGTGCAGCAGCTGCCGCCTGTAAAAGTTTTCTCTCTGAGGGCTGGCAGTGAGGGCAGAGAGGGAGGGGGTGCGAGGAGAGACCACACCAAGCTTCTGCTCAAGCTGCTTGTGAAGCTCCAGCTGTTTGAGGGCGCTGTTTTCCTGGACGCTGGTTTGCAGCTGCGCTCGCAGACTCCTCACCTCCCCGAGCAGCTCCCCCAGCTCCACTGGCAGACCGGGAAGCTCACACAGGTAACCTGAGGACAAATCACAGAGATGCTTCTGCTTCAGTGCTCTTTGGGGTGTTTCACTCCACAACAATAACTCAGTGAAACTTTAATAGGTTTTTGTAAACACTTATTCAAGGCAAATGTGTTTTTTAAAGTGATATGAAGAATACAACTCAGTGAACCAGGGCTACCAAAGTGCCATTCTTGATACTATCACAAGACTGGTCCAAAGCTCAGACTTCCCAAACAAATACTGTACACAGGAGCTTTGAAAAATCTATATTTTAAAACATGCACTAGTTTGATATGAATATACTGACTGTTGTTGGCCTTTGTGCTGGAGCACACACGGTCGTACACTTGTAGTTCACTCTGCAGGGAGTGGATAAGCTCTCTGCTCTCACAGAGCTGCTGCTGCAGCAGGGACACCTCGTGCTGGAGCCTGAGGACACACAAGACACATCAGAGAACAGACACGTTAACAAAGACAGCGTTGTTTCCATGATTAATGTGTCAGTTAGTGTCTGATTCACACACCGACCTGTTGGTTTTCTCCTGACTGTTCTGGCGTTCCTGCCTTAACATGTGGATCTGCTGGCCCTGCTCCTGACTGTGAGCCTGAAGCCGTCTCAGCTCCTCCTTCCACTGCTCCGCCTCCAACTCCGCTTGTTTCAAGCGAGCGTGTGCTGTAAACACCGCCTCCCTCAGCTGCACCACCTCCTCACAAGAATCTGAGGGGAAGAGGACAGACCAAAAGGTTTACAAACAAGTTCTAGAGAAAAATAATGTTTTAAAAAAACATTTTTTTACATGACGTACCTGTGCTGGCCTGGATGCGTGACTGTAGAGCCAAGTTTTCCTCCTTCAGGACTCGAATCTCGTTGGACAGTTGAGTGACTGAGTCCAAGCCCTGAATGTAGATGTTTGTTGGGGCCCCTGGAAAAAAAAACATTCAACCTTGTGCTTGAAATCTTAGAAAGAAAGAAGTGACTTTGTTTGCAGTGATTGTTAATACTTAAGTACCTCCTTCATGCCTATAAGTTGCCAGTCTCTCTTCCAGCTGCTGTCGGAGCCTCTCGTTGGTCCTGATGGACTCCTCCAGGCGCTGACGGAGACACCTCACCTCCTGCAGGTGCTCCTCTATTAAATTCACACCTCATGACAAAGAATATAACAATATTAGAATCATAAATGTATTTGAATTGAGAATATAATTCAGCTATTACATCAGGTTAGAGGTTGTAGAGTCACACCTGCATGGCTGTCTCGCTGCTGGTGTCCAGGTGATCCAGAATAGCTTCCAACCTGCTGAACCATGTTTTCCATGTCCCACAGAGTCCCTCCCGTCACAAGACCTGAGTCAGACTTCAGCGAGTGGCTTCCGGGAATTCCACCCGGCTGATACTGTTGAAAGGCATGATGGGAAAGCTGGCTGTAGCTGCTGGAGAGGTCGTGCTTGTTGTGGGCTCCAGGTGAAAGAGGGTACAGAGGCTGGTCATGGGGAACTGCAAAGCCTGTCACCAATACAGAAAAGAGGGAAAAGGGAGATATTCAAATTCTGTCTTTGTTTCATACTTTTTTAGTTGTACTCCACACATGATGGCACACATCCCCCGACCCCTCACCCCTGTTCTGTTCATTCATCTGTTTGTAGAGTGTGTCCAGCTCGGGGCGCACAGCGATCACAGACAAGGCCCTGGGCTGGGGGTCAGAAGGGACTTCTTTACCCCAGGCGACAGGGCCAAAGGGGACAGAGAGGGAGAAGGAGACAGGCGGCCTGGAGAGGGCTGGAGAATGACAGGAAATGACATGTACAGAATATGAAGGAGGAGGATAGGGTAAAAATTATATACTTTTTTTGTTGCTTTCTGAGTCATATCCAGCTGTGAGTCCTGTACCTGTAGAGGACTGACTGTTCAAAGCCACAGGGGCTGAGCAGTGCATGTTGGGACAGCTGCTGGAGGTCTTGAGGAGACCATGAGTAGGAAGGAGGGACGGACGGGCTGAAGGGGGGGAAGGGGGGAAATGAAAAGTGAAGGAAAGAAAAAGAAATGCCCAGAGAGTAGAGTATATCAAAATAAAGATCAACAATACCGTCTTGTTCTGAGGCATGATGCTGCTCCTCCTGAAACTCTCTGGCATCTAAATCAGAGCACAGCTCCAAGTCCTCGTTGGTCCTGTACTCATCAGAAACCAGAGACGTTCGGTCTGATTGGTCCGTGGTCTCAGAGAGAGCCTGGCAGCTGGATGGGGTCTCTGGACGCTGCTGGAGCTTGGTGTGGAGGGACTCAATGATTTTGTCTTTGTGCTGGAGCTCCTTACTCAGCCTGCATGAACACAAGACACATCAGCTGTTTACACTCTGACATAGCAGTTCGACTTCACCTGACACACTTTACTGCACAACTATTCAAACAAGACATTTTACATGATACTTTTTATATCTGCCAACAACGAAAGAAGACAAAACATGACATTTTCTCTCAATCACAATCAAAGAAAAGTATAAAAAAGAAAGGTTTCTTTGAGTTCCACATGGAGGTGATAGCTACAGCTGTTTGTTGATTAATCAGTCATCCGACGATCAACTGTTGGTCAAACAAAACACGACATTTCATGTATAAAGATTTAACACATTTTATAAATCTCTGTTAATATAATGTAATATATAAAGTCTTTGCATTTAAAGAAACTCTGAAAGGCTTTCTAACACACATCTGATCTAGGTGGACCAATCTGCCTGGTCCGTTGTTTGATAGTTTTTAAGGTAAAGAATTGACAACAGTGTTGTTGCCCTTACTGTTTAAGTTTCTGAAGCATGAACTCCCGGTCTTTCTCCAACAGTACCCTAAAGAAAGATGTCTCTTTTGCTTGTCCTCGGCTTACAGAAAAAGAACACAGAGAGTCCCTGTATATGGAGCTGTTCTTAGACATCATAGACTTCCACAGAGGAGCCATCACACCGTCAGTAGAGTCCAGAAAAAACAAAGACAAAGTCCCTGATGCTCTACAGCGGGAGCTGAACATCCAGTGGATACGACAAGAATCTAAGTCCCCTAACCAAGACTTCTTATTCTTGATAGTTTTAATTAAATTGAAAGAAAATGACTTTCAGACTAGAACTCTTCTTCTTAGCAGGGTCCGACTGTGAGGTGACACCAGTGAAGGTTTGTCTCACACACACACACACACACACACACACACACACACACACACACACACACACACACACACACACACACACACACACACACACACACACACACACACACACACACACACACACACACACACACACACAGAGCCTTTAAGCCCATCTGGTGGGACACATGTCAGTCTATTCAACTAAGGCAACTTAAGAAGAAGAAATCCATGCTGTTTCCAGGCCTGTGTGTGTGTGTGTGTGTGTGTGTGTGTGTGTGTGTGTGTGTGTGTGTGTGTGTGTGTGTGTGTGTGTGTGTGTGTGTGTGTGTGTGTGTGTGTGTGTGTGTGTGTGTGTGTGTGTGTGTGTGTGTGTGTGTGGATTAACAGCAACCTTCTGTCTCATCTCCACCATAAGGAGCCATGTGGACGGCTCCCCGCGTGCTGCAGTGTGTCACATGACACACATAACTAATCACAAGCTCTTTAGAGAAAGCTAACAACTACCGTAATTGGAGGTCCAACGAAAACAAAGCTATGCTAGGAGAGATTATATTGACCTTCTCTGCAGAGATTTAGGATTTAAGTCTTTCTAGATCTGTTTTTGTAATCTTACCTTGCACACGCTTTAAGATGTAACATATTAAAATTGTCCCAAGCAAATACACACATAGGCACATATTAATAAAATCATGCAGTCTCACCTTAAGGCAAGCAACTCATGGCCTGCCTTGTCATCATGGCTCTCTGCACGGTCCCTTTGGGAATTCAATAAGAAAAAAACAGAGCACAGGACAAGATTATCAAAAACAATTTGGGTAAAAAAAGGCTGTGAAACTACAAAACAGTCTTTCTGTGTGAGTGGAGAGACGGGAGGTTTGCTTCTTACGTCCTCTGATCTTGGCGACCACTCTTTGTGCGAGGGCAGAGTTCTGTGCCAGCTGCTCTCTGAAGCTCTGACCCATGTAGTAGTCGATGTCATTGGACCGCAGCAGCTCCTCAAAGACCTGAGAGAGGTGACGATAGAGCAGGTGTAAGTGCATCAAACACTCCTCTGTTTCTGGTGTCTGGTAACATGTAATGTTTGATGCAGAAGGGGTACCTTGGTCGTGTCGCCCAGGTGCTGAGTGAGGATGTGACAGACTCCCTGCCCCTCCCTCATCCTCTGCCTCAGGTGAGACAGCTCTCGTGCCTGAGTCTGGATCAGAGAGTTGTACTTTCTGTAAGAGGGGAAAGAACAGGACAAACAGCAGGAAGCAAAGTATTAACAGGTAGTTTACGGAGCTACAAATTATATGATTAATCATCCCAGTGGTCATATGTTTACTGATTCTTAGTGAACAACAGCAAACCCTTACCAGCCCCCAACCCCGCCCACTATATAGTACATCTGCCTCTCTCTCTGTGCACCACTCACCCAGGCCAAGTAGCACACTTCCCCTCCTCTGCTTGACCTTTGCCATCCAGTCTGGAGCTCTTTAGCTGCGCCTCCAGTGATGCAACTCGTGCCATCAGCTCCTGGAGTTCACTGCCGGGCTTTGAGCCCGAGCGGATCCCTTGGGTGTCGGACATCCAGCCTTCATCCTCCTCTACACCACTAGGGGCTGGTGAGGTCTCAAAGGCCCAGTTTACCTAAACGAAATTGAGCAAAAATACTTTATGAGCCAGAATAATTCATGAAGGGCTTCCTTTTTTTAATTTTATTTAAGTAAAAAGAGTCTAGGGTAGCTGGTTAATGTCGCGGCACCTTCCGTGGGGTTCGCTCCAGACTGGAGGCGTAGTCACTGGTGGTCGACAGTGAGCGGACACGTAGCTGTAGCCCACGGATCACCTTGTGACACCGGGTCAGCTGTGAGCGCAGATCCTTGACCAGATGCTCCAGAGACGCTGACTCATCCCTCCCTTCATAAGCACCTCTGTTGTTACTGCTGCCAGGGTACCAGCTCCCGCCCACGCCATCGTAGTCCTGCTGATGGGAGAGTGACGTGCACATCTCCAGGTCATCAAACTCTGGAGGATTGGAGAGATTGATGCTTGATTAAGGAGCTTTAGTCAGGTCATTTCAAAAGAAGAAGTGCGAAAGAAGGGTGTTGTCGTCTGAGAGAAGTTTGGTGTGTTTGTCACCTGGACTGCTGGCGTCTTCTCTCTCAGCCTCGTTCTCACTGCGACCACATGTCTCATAACCCAGATCCTGCAGATCCACCTGCACCTGCTTACTGGCCTGCTGAACCGATGTCTCCGCTGCAGAGAAAATGAGACAGAAACAACTTCACTCTTCCACACTTATTTGATCATGTTTTAGTTTGATTTGTCTAAAAAAAAAAAAAACATGTCTGGATGCTTACTGAGCAGGTCTCTGTACTCCTTCAGTTGTTCAGCCTGAGCTTGCACTGTGGCCTCAGACACCATCAGCCTCTCCTGCAGCTCTCGGTTCTCCCGGTGGCTCAGATCCAGATCGGACTGGAGACGAGCCGCCTGCTCACGACGACCCTCCCCTATATCCTGCCAGAGTGCACCCACTTCACTGCTTTTGCCGGCTTGCTCGCTCTGCAACGACAAGATTAGGAAATTAGTCACAGCAGCAACTACAGGCCTGAAAGAACAACAAAAAAAACCCTCTACAGAGAGGCTGTAAACTGAGGTATCGAGAAGTTTGAGAGTCAAGGGGTGGGAGGCCTGGAGGCAGGGAGCTGAAATCTGCTTTGCTTTATTTACAGAGGTGAACAACAACCATAGCTAGATGTATCTACAAACTACAGCTCTTTTTCAAAATAAAATATTACTAGCTGTTTCTCTCTGCACCCTTGATTATTGATAGTATACAAATATTTTATTATTTATTTTTATAACAGCTCAGTACATTATTACTTAACACTTACTATCCCTTAAAATTGACTTATTCTACTACAATATATATATACGGTACTTTTTTCCTTCTTATTCACTTCAACACATTGTCTGATGGGTCATGTTGCTTGGAATTACTTGCAGTCTGATTTTAAACTGCAAAACGTAGTCACCCTGAATGTTTTTAAATCCTTAGTGAAAAGTTACGAAGTGTATCAAAGAGAAATGTTAACATGATGATTTAAATGCATCATGTGTTACCTTCACAGGCTGCTCTGTGTGGTGATGCGATGTGCACTGCTTCTTCACTCCCTCGTCGTTCAGAGAAACACACGGAGGACCTCTCTTGCCCAACAGCATTGGAGACATCTCCTCCTCCTCCTCCTCCTCTTCCTCCTCCTCCTCAAAATCGTCCTGATCTTCTTCCTCCTCCTCCTCCTCCTCCTCTTCCTGGATGAGACTCCTGTGATTCTTTTGAACTGCAGCTTTTCTTCTGCTTTCTTTAAGAGCCAGACTCTCCTGCTGTAATCTCTGCAGTGCACTCCTGGAAGGAAGATGGGGAGAAAGAAAAAAATTAAAGAACAGTCTCCCTCAAAACTTACAACAATATCCTCGTGAACAATCGAAGGATAGATGTTTCCTGAACTTTACAAAGTTACAAATATACACCTCATCTGAGACACAGAGTTGTATCCATTCCTTTCTAGCTGGAACTTCATTTCTTCAAGCTGGCTTTCAAGTGTCCTCTTTTCCTCTTCAAGTTGCTGTACATCTGCTCTGCGGGAAAGTAAACTCCTCATTGGTGCTCCTGTTACAGCCTCAGATTCACGAGCCTGCACAGAAAAGTCAGAAACATTTGACAGTTGTTATTCTATGTCAGTCTTGGATTTGGTAGAAAATGTTATCTTGACATCAGTTAAAAAACTGAAGCCTGAATTAAAGGGATCTTATATTGCGATGTAAACAGGAGTAACCTGAAAACGTCTGGCTGTCGCTTTATCATCCTCCTCTATGCTGTCGGAGAACTCGTCACTGCTGCCATCTTTAATTTCTCCCTCCTCTTCTTCTTCTTCCTCCTCCTCTGTGCTGAGCTCTGGAAACACACAAGTCAAATAAGGAGGAGCTTTTTTGTTGATTTCTTAATAATGTCCTCCTTTATTTTACATCCTCCCTCTCTAGCGTTCACTTTAGTTTACTTCAAGAAGACAGTCTGTACTCTGTAATCACCACTTTGGAAGTCATGGGACCAAAGGGAAATGTTATGTCACATACTGAAAACATACTCAGGGCAGGGCAACAAAGTGTGTGTGTGTGTGTGTGTGTGTGTAGGTATAGATGTGTTTATGGGAAGGGGAGGGACATATTTTAAACCATTATGGGCTTTGTATGGATATACACTTTGTACAGGTTGGTAGGGACTGTTTGCCAAACTTGGAAACATAACAGCATTTTATCTCTTCTGTTTTATTGAAGTTTCACACACACACTCACTCCTAGCTGAGTTCTGCCAGGAAGCAGAGGCTCAGTGGAAATTGGCAGGAATTTAAAGGAAAAATGTTTTACATAATGGGATCTAATAATACACAGCAGACACACACAACACACTACACAAAAACTGTGTATGCTTTGTGTGTCAGAAGTGTATTGGTCTGTTTCTTTAGTTACACACCTATGTTTGGGACTTATTATTCATCCTCAGGAGAAGTTCAAATCGATCTATCACTACATACAAGTCCAACCTACAACTCATATGTAGTATGAGTATGAGAGTTGAATATCTGATGTGTCTTTGTGTGAGTGTCAGGGCAGTAAATTCATGGAGAGTAACTGCTGTTATTATTGATTGAACTATGTGCTCTGACAGCACTGACTGACCATGAGGCCTTGTTTACTCACTGCTGCACTACAAACTATCCACACACACAACATGTTTAACTGTGCAGGTTCATAGGTTTACCTCATTTTACTATTATATAATGTTTTTTTTTGTTCACTATATGGGATATTGTGTAGAACGGGCTAATATCAGCTTCCTTTATTTGGTGGATATTGTATTCAGTGTGGTGAGTATTTCACTTTGACTTTACAGCAGAACAGCCATGCAAACATTGAAACACCATGCCACAGTTTCATGCATGTGGGAGCAAGGACATGAAGGAAAAACACTGATTGAATTGGGACACTTTGTTAATAAACAATTATGTAGATATTATATTACAAGCGATTTATGTTCAGTATTAAGTGCTGAAAATATCTCAAACTTCATTTTAATTTGTGACACGTTTTCTCGTGGTTAAGACCATTTGGGAAAGCTATGGATGACATCATTATCTACTTTCAGGGTGTAGAAAGATAGAAGACTGTGGGTTGATCTCTGGGGAGAGAAGGGAAATGTATCAAGGATCAGGAGAGGGATATCAGGGTTGGGATATTGTAACGGTTAAGTCCCAATCATACACAACAAACAGATCTCCTGTTGACAGAAAGCGAACCAATTTTATTGTGGTTGCATGAAAAATACAAAAAGAAATGTTGACAAAGATTCCATCTCTGAGGCTAGACGAGAGCTCAGGGCAAATAATCCTGAGAAAATGTTCTCTACCCTACTATAAATATTGAACGGGCAAGTATCATATCTGGCATTCACTTCTCATGTGATTTATAGTGAGCACAGAGCAGACAGTAAAATTACTTATTAATATATTAGCCTATCAAAGGCTAGACAGCTAAAGCTAAAACAGTACATACTCATTACTCATTGCTGCTGGGGCTGGCCTACTGTTTCATGCATATCTGTCTGACTAAAATGTAACTAGGGTTTATAAACTGTGTATGAAAGCCATCAATGGTGTAGCTGAAGAGGAGGAAAACACTTGGCCATCTTTTATGTTCTGTGTCTTGGGCCTTGGTAAATGTGCACATCCTGTTACAAACAGATGATATAAAACAAATGATGGATGGTGAGAGGTTTCACTGTAAGGCATGAGCTTGAGTCTCTCCACATGACGGGACTTCACTGTGACAGTAAGGCTGGAAGAGTGACACCGGTGAGAGACAGTACACAGAAATGGCAATACAGAACGATCGCACTGCAAAGCAATACGCAGGCAGCTCTCATGAACAATATCAAAAACATATTCACACCACACTCACAAAATAGATAAATAAACAATAAGACTTTGGGTTGCACTTTGCCACTTCATACCGCTGAGGTTAATCTCGACAGGCTTCTGCTACTGTGAGTAGTGCTTGTGCTGTTCTGACGAAGCTGTCTGCAGACTGACGGTCAAACTTTTGTATTTTCAGTCACTCTTCAGAGCAGATTTACCTAAATAAGCTTGACTTAAGGACTACATGCTTTTCTGAAATTGAACAATAGATTCTGCAGACAGCTCCGTCTCACATAAATAGTGCCAGTGACACATAAACAGTGCTGTGTTCAAACAGTGCCCCCTGCAGCCCTGGAGGCTGGACCCTGCCCATCCCCACCTCCAAAGTCGGGCGGCCTTTTAGATGCCCGCTCCATCAGAAGGGCCATGTTTCGGGTCCTTGCAAGAACCTCCTCCAGCTGTGTGCGCAGCGCCTGAACTGAGTCCAGCTCAGTGTGCAGGGCCTGGATCTTCTCTGAGCTGAAGACGAGGAAGAAATTGTTTTTAAAGAAGACAAAAAAAAAAAAAAACCTGCAACTTGAGTGTGTTCACAAGAAACTAGACCAGGGTGCAGCTGCTCCACTTACCTGTCACTCTTAGTGTGAATGTGTGCCAGATTTTGGTATAATCTCTTTTCTGCCTTCAGGGCATTGTTCAGCTTGTTGTACTCTGAAACAAGCTGCTCCAGCAGACACTAGATCGAAATGGCAAGGAATAACAAATGCATCATAAAGCAGTACAAAAGGCCAAGTGCAGCATAACTCAGCTAAAAATGAAGTAAAATCTTACTTGATGATCCGCGTTGTCCGCTCTTGTAGCCTGCTGGTGAGACAAAGACAGACGCAGAGCAGAGAGCTCCTTCTGCAGAGAGGAAACAGACATTTGATTTGTGGGAAAAATAAACAACGATCAGTTCGTGAAGCATCAGTGGGTCCAGACACGCACCTGAGCCTCCCTCTCCTTCTTCAGCACCAGTTGCAACTCCTCCTGCAGAGCATTTATTTCTGCATCGCTCTCTTTAGAGGACGGCAGCATGGTCTCTTCTTGATTCTGCATCAGCTCCTGGTGAATTAAGTCTACTGTGAGAATCAGGTGTACAGGATATCAGGGGTATATAGAAAAAGGAGGGAAAATGCACCGAAAGATACCTTTATGAAGGCTTCTTTCTCTTTGAGCAGACTCCGCAGGTGCTCTGTTTCTCCTCCCATCATCTCTCTCTCCTTTTCTCGTTTCAGCACACACAGCTCCTGCTCTCTTAATGACAGCTGTCTGCGCAGCTCCTGCAGCTGACCTGTCTGCTCTGTGATCACAACCGAGAGCCTGTAAGAGTAGTCCTAGAAGAAAAAACGCCAAAAGTTGAGGACTTCTGATGTTATTTTTTTCTTCCAAGCTGCCTTTCTTTCCGGTAACCTACCTGCAGATACTGGTCTTTGGAGCTCAGAGTGTTAAGCATGTCCTGCACCTGAGCCTGGTGTTCATTCGACTGACGGCTGCGGTCTGACAGAAGCTCTTCAAAGAGTTTCTCCTTCAACGCCAGTCGAGCTTTCAACTCCTCTACAACCTCAGAAGGACCAGCATGAACTCTGGCAACTAGGGCAGCTGTCAGATCCTGAACACACACACAAAAAAACACACACCCAGGAAAGGCTGTGTCAGCACATCTGCTGTATTTGAGAAAGTGGAAAAACAAGTAGCACAGGTTTGTGGAGCCTTTTTTAACAGGCTTTTGAAAAATACACATGAAACAATTGGAATCCCTGACATTAAAGCCATAAATGTAAATGAATGTGTGTGTGTTACCTGTGTCTCCTGACTGCGTGCCTGTAGGGCTGCCTGTAGCTGATTGATGATGGTGTCTTTTTCTCTCTGAGTGCCTCTCTCCTTCTCCTCGGTCTGCTGCTTCAGCCACTGCAGGTTCCGGTATGCCTCGGCTGCCTGCTCCAGCTCCAGCTCTTTACTGCGCACCAAGCCGTCCAGACTCTGACGGTCGAAAAGCAAAATACCTCATTAATGTCACAAATGAATACATGACAAACCCAAGTCAAGAGAGGTTCTGGCTTTTTACACTCAAATCAATAAGGCACATTCACCTGACAAGTATAGATAAATACCTTATTTCAAGATGACTGAAACTAGATGTTGGGGCTTGACAGGTGAATTTGCCTTATAATTAGTGTGATAATGTGAGATTTGACTAGAAATTTGACAAAAATACATTTGCTAATATTTGAGTTTTTGCAGTGCACAATCAAACATAGAAGCAAAGACATTCATAATGTAATGTCACTAATTACCAGTCGGAAGGTTTTGCAGTTTTAAATCTCTGAAATGTTGCTTTACCTAAAAGTAAATTTACTCCTACTTGCAGATGAGTTGTTATCCAGATGTAAGACCAGATTTGGAGGGGTTAATCAGAATCAGAATCAGAAATACTTTATTAATCCCAGAGGGAAATTCGATCCTTACAGTTGCTCCAAAATAAACAATATAGCAGTAGAAATATAGTAATAAAAACATTATTAAAATAGAAAATGGAATATAAGTAAGATATCAATAATAGGTACAAGAAATATTTACACAAATAAGAGTCAGATGGAATATATACACACATTTTCAAGATTATTGTACTGTTTGTTTCAATATTGCACTTTGTTATCATGGAGATATTATTCATTATTATTATATTGCAGTTTTAATAAATAATGAGTATAGTTTTCAGTTATTTAAAAAAAAAATTTCAAGGCTGAAATAGTCCTGGGTCAGACGGAGTGTTTGTCACTCAAAGGGAGGAGTTCTCAAGTTTGATGGCCACAGGCAGGAATGACCTCCTGTGGCGTTCTGTCTAACCTCTCATCTAACCCCTACACTCTGAGATGTTTGTAAGTTGGGTGTTAAGCGTACCGTGATGGTCTCCTCGTTGTTGGACAGAATGCAGCGCAGTCTCTCCAGGTCTCGCTCTTTCTCCCTGAGGGCCAGCTGCAGCCTCCTCACCTGCTCCTCGCGCTCCTCCACGCAGCGAAACTTGTCATCAATAGAGCGCTGCAGAAGAGGGGGAGGAAGGCACTTAGCTGCTATTCTGGGCACCCTGAGGTGTGAGAATCATTCTCACCCAGATATTCATCATGTTCTTGTTCAGTTTTCAGTTTGGTAGTTAACAGTGAGAATGAGCAGATGGGGAGTGTTAGAGGCCCCTGGTCCCACACGTCTGGGTATAAAGATGACATTTTGTTCCATCATCTAACTTTAAAGGAGATGTTGATCATTTTATGCTATTTCTACTCTAAGATATTTTACAGTTAGTTGAGCCATTTTATGCTGACCTAATAGTTTAGCAGGCCTTTGCATTACTGTACACTGCTTTTCATCTGCTGCAAGATGCATGCTTAGCTCTTTTCTGAGGTTAAGCCTCACTGCAGTATACAGGAATCAGTCCGTATTCAACGCAGTGACCCATATAGTTATGTGTATCAATATGCCATTTATTTCTGTCTATATGAATGTTTCTAAGTGTTTGTGTGTGTGTGTGTGTGTGTGTGTGTGTGTGTGTGTGTGTGTGTGTGTGTGTGTGTGTGTGTGTGTGTCTTACCTCCAGAGCTCTGTCTCTATCTTTAACCCTCTCTTTAAGTTTCTCCAGTAGAGCATCTCTTGGTTTGGAGCTTCCTGCTGAGTCTAACATCTCAGAGTACTCCTACAAAACAATCGTGTACAGTGGAATCAGAAATGTTTGCATGCGCTATCTAATTTCTGACTGTATGAATTAAGGGGGGGGGGGGGTTGGTTGGTTGTGTGGTTAACCTGTAGTTGTTGCTCCTTGTCCTCCAGAGAGTGTTTGAGCTGTGTGATGCTCCTCTCTTTCTCCTGCACCAAAGTGTTTCTCTCTGCCTCGCTCTCCTTCAGAGCGGATTCTTTGGCTTGAAGATCAGAGCGAGTTTTCTGAAGGGCGCTGCGCAGGTCCTGAAGGACAAACATGAGGTGGTTAGACATGCTATAATGTTCAATACTATGAGACTTCTCTCAAAGGCTTGCTTTAGCCATACATGAAAAAAAATACACGTTACCTGGTTGTGTTTCTCAGTGACCTCCCTGTGCTGCAGAGCTTCCTGCAGATCAGAGTTGAGTCGATCCTTAAACTGCACCAGGTCCTCTCCTTGTCTCTGGCTCTGCCTCAGACTCCTCTGGCTGGCCTCCAGCTCAGACCAAGGGAGAACAGGGAGCTCTGCACCCCCACCAGCTCTGCTTGCAGTGGGCAAGAGTTAAGGACTCACTGACCCCCTCTGGAGCCTGAAGACAGAGGGACCACAGACACAAGTTTAGCATGTCATCCATGTGGAGAGAAGAATATAATCATTGATAAAGAAACATCGAGGATTAGCTTGCACCAAGTCTCACCTTGCATTTAGAGAGCTGGTTGTGGTGAGCCATTTCTCTCAGCTTACACAGCGTGGTGTTCTGCCCTTCAATCAGCTGGTACAGCTCCTGGGCCTTGAAGCAGAATAAATCATGGATATAAGCACCTTCTAAACACTATTTATCTACCACCTCAGGTAAAAACAAACACTCACCTCGCAGTCTTTGCTGCCGATGGACTCCGTTAGACCCTGAATGGTTCTTTCTTGACTCTGAGCCGCCTGACGGATTGAACGCAGCTCACACTCCATCTCATTAAGCTTCTCCTGCAGCTTCTGTAACACAGAGACGATTATCGCTGTGAGGCTCTCATCAGATGTGCATTTTTATCTAACTGTAATGAGGCATTCTCAGAGTGTCTTACCATATTGTTGGCCTCACTCTCGTGGATCTTTGCCTGCAGGGACTGGACCTGGAGCTGGGCCTTCTGCAGCTCACTCACACACTGACCAGCTGCACACTCGTACTGGTTTAGTTGGCTTTGCTGCTCTTCAACCAGGCTCTGTAATGAATTTCAATTCAGTTCAATGTCATTCAGTTTCAAGTTTAGTTTTGTGACCTAATGCATAACTTTTGTGTGTGATTTAGTTTGTTTCAAATTCATGAAAAATACAGAAGCTGCGGGCTGGATATCTTTCACAATGGATTGTGTAATACATGTTCACCATTTAGATACTCTGCTCAGTCACGTGTGTACTTTGTAAAAAGCTATAAGTGCCTCTGAAGTGGTGCGAGAATGTCTGCACGCATGAGTTAACATAAGAAAGTGCTCACAGGCACTATCATCATTACATAACAAGCGTATACACGCTTCTAACTTTCAGTGACAAGAGGAAGGACGTCATTACAATAAGCTGATTTATACTTTTACTAGCCAAGATCTATTTGTGTTTCAAAGCAGAGATTACATTAAATTTAGATTTTTTTTTTTTTTTGCAAAGGAATGATTCATTTAACATTTCATTAAATAGCATCATTGTCCTAGCCAACCACTGTTGCGATGACATGGGTGGCCTGACTCTGCGTGGATCACTTTGCCTCAAGGGTTCTGAGTGAAAATAGGCCAATAGTGGAGTCACTTTGTCTTAATGTCACCCTACATCTAACCTACTTCAGAGAGCGGCCCTGGCTCCAACAAAATTCTCTCGTATTCCTCAAAAAGCTATCCCAAAGAATTATTGTCTTGTAGAGGAGAGATTTTATTTTTTTGCACACAAGCATAGATGCACACTTATGCGGGAAATCCTGTGTTGCAGCATGCAAGTTTAGAAACAGGAAATACAAGGAGACTGTGTCTGCAGGCCGTGATCTTAAATGTGGATCCTAAAGTCTATCTAAATGTATATGGTTAAATAAGCAATTTGAATTGTACTTATTTTACATGTTTACATTCACATTATGATTAAATATAACTGTGCTCTCCTTTTACTACATGCTGGCTGCTCTTATTGACATGACTACTGACCTCTCACTCACACTCTGTCAAACACACATTAGGTAATTAGGCCATTTCCTGTGTTACAGCTTACCTACACACCTGACTGCTCATGTAATGTGTTCCCACACATAGACAACTAACTCCCCCCCCACACACATAAACACACACACACACACACACACATAATAAGCATTGGAGCTCAAATCCTCCTGGGCATGAGGTTTTGGAAGAGGCTGTGGGCAGGATTTAAGTGCCTGACAGCGGGATTATGGGGCTAATTACGCTAAAAAAAATAGTGAGAATAATCATTTTGTGGGCAGGCTGCACTGTGTGTCTGTCAAACATCCAAGTTTGTTGATCGGTTCGTTCATACTGCCGCAGAAGGGAGATAGCAGAGGCAAAATTCACCACTCCTGGATGCCATTTTTCTGCAGAAGTAAAAAGATTCCACATATTCAGATTCATCACCATCCTCCCGAACGGTTTAGTACCTGGTGAGGAGGTGGGCGAGGATACTCTTTGTACAAATCTTGCATTAATTCTTCCATGTCAGCCAGATTCAGATTCTGAATGCTGAAATGGATCAGGGGGGTCTCCAGCTCAGGTGTTCTTATGTGGTTGTCTCTTTCTCCAACTTGAGTTTCATAAGAGAATCCCAGAACAGGATTAGGGAGGTCCAGTCTTAGGCCTCCGTTACTGGAGCTCCGTCTGAGGAGGACTGGCAGCTTGCTCCCCTTAGAGCTCCGGACCGGTCTGTAGATGGTGTAGCTCTGCAGCAAACACAAAGCCAGAGAGAGGCTGGGTCCGGGTGAGGCTGGGTCATGTGAGGCTCCCGCGCGCTCCTCAGAGAGAGAGTCGTATAACCGATCATCAATAGGGTCCCTTGGGGAGCTGAGGAGTCCATCCGTTAAGCCTCCAGGGTGGATATACTCCTCGGTTGTCTCCAAGGATGCTATGGAAGGGCTGGAGCTGGCTTGTCCTGCCAGGGTGCGATCGCTGTCAGACTTCCTTGAGGGGTCCTGAGAACCAGGGACCAGAGTCAAAGAGGAAGGGGCTTCTTCTGAATCCTCCACATGTTTCTTCTCTCCTGCTTCTCCTGTCACACTCCCTCCGATAACACTGGCTGAATATCTGGTTGACGGCCCGCAGGAAATACTTCTTGCCAGCTTCCTTGGCACCTTACAAACAGCTTCATAGTCCGAGTCTGCAACTCGCCAATACGAACATCCACGACACTTCCTGGGTGTGCTATGTACACATCGATGTGAGCCTGCAACTGTTACCTCTGAACCCGCACCTACAGCACACTGAGGGTAGTGGTGCTGAGAGTCGAGACCGTCCTCGGCCCAGGACTCATACAAAGAGTAAACCATGTCGTCTTGGAGCAGGGCGCAGTACTTGCATGAGTGAGACCTGAAATGTCCACCATCCCATCTCCTGGTCCTTCATTACCCCCAGTTATTGTTACAGCACCCTCCTCTGAATTAGTTTTTCGGTAGAGACCTCCAATGCAATGCCTCAGCCGATGTTTCTCCTGTAGGAGCCGCTGCAGCCTCTCGATGGACAGTGCCTCTACTCGGGCAATCACTGTGTCAAAGCGATACATGCGGTCCAGCATGAAGGTGCACTTAGAGCAGGCGAACTCTCCTCTGCCATCCCGGGTCAGCTCTTGCCCGAGGGCGTGAGACAGCAGCACCTGCAGATTGAGTTTGGCAGTGGGGTGGAAGATCCATCGTCGCTGGTTACCACAGAGCTCCCGTCCACAGATGCGACACGTTTCCTTCATCTTGAGATCAAGCATTCCCCGGGCTTATAGTTATCAAGGAGGGGATGAAAATGTAATTTACTATCTGACACCTGAATCCTTGTGATGACTCACAGGTAAAACTGAGAAAGAGCTCAAGGTCCAAGCTGTTTCAGTGTAAACATGTTTAAGAGCAGAAAAAAAAATACTGAAATAGTGTGAAACTCCTCATGGGATCAGTCCTTTTTCATTTCATTAAATTGAATGGCTTAACAAAAAATATGATGAGGTAGACAAGAGGAATACATTGCAGATGCTTGTTGAGAATGGTTGCATGTGTTTCTTTGCAGGCTAAAAAAAAAAAAAAAAAAAGAGGCAAAAATCGATTCATAAATGCTGTGACGATCAATGAAATGAATCAGCCCAGAAAATCTTCATTGATTTTGCTGGAGGTGCAGGTGCAGCGGGAATATGACGCACTCCTCCTACGGGGAAGTCACGTTAAGGTCTCATCGATCAGATTCAGTATGAATCGGTCTCCCGTCCTCGCGCTTTCACACAACCAACAGCATCGCAGTCGCTCCTGCACCATCGAGACGGCTGCGATGGACACACGAGCCGCACCGCACTCCGTCAGGACTCTCCTGTCCGAGGGGAAAGGTAATTATCCGCTGTCCTTTTCCAGGACACAGAGCAGTAACAGGAGTGCTGGGACGGTCCTTTAAGTCTTTACCCGGTGTCTGTGTCCGAAGAGGCGACTCTTCAGTCATTGCAGAGACTTTACTGACAGCCACAGAGGCAGACACGCGCTCACCGGGCTCGGTCGGAGATCCTCCCGGCTGATAACGATGTGGCTGCCTGAACCAGACCTGCAGCAATGGAGCGAACCATTAGGTGGATACGGGGGTGGAGGGGCCCGGTGCTGCCTCACATAGCATCCCTTTTGAGTACCCGTCATTATATCGGATAGAAATTGTATTTTTTTTCTTAAAGAAATTATTTTAAAATGTAAAGCCAGCGAATATCAGCTTTAGTTTTGGTTTAAGCTGTAAGGAAAGAAAGTGACGCTCCCCTAGCGGTCTGTGATTCTCTCCTGCCCGGTTTACTCTGCTCCGTTCGCCTGACTGAACAGGTGAAATGCTCAGTAGCATGGTAACATTAGTGACGCTCTGTAAAATTAATAAAACTGAGCAGCCAGACAGCTCTTATCCTATTGTATTATAAAATTATTTATAGGGGCACAAACATAAAACACACTACAAGGTTTACAATGTTAGTCTATGTATAGTACAGCCTGATTATTTCTGTGATAGCTGGCAATATTATATTGCCTACAATATTACAAAATAATAATTTAATACAGAGTTTATATACACACTATATGTTCTTTTCAAAACAATTTCATGTGAGCAAATTAATTATAATATTTTCATCTTTATGATACAATTCTGTTTAAAACAGAATCATATCTACACAGCATAACGTGAGAGCAACAGTAATATATTTGCTATAAAACCCTCACAGCCTGGGCTTGACTAGAACCACTTCCAATTCTTCAGTACATCAGTCAAACTGCACTGTTATGAAACAAAACATGCAAAACAAACCTTTTGTGTGTGTGTTGAAATAAGCATCAACCATTGACTTACCGGTATTTGTCTTTCTGCAATAATCTTGCAGGATTGTGGTAATGGGATATTGAACTATACAGGATTACTGCTTTATTTTTTAAACAACAGAGCAATACAATCAATCCCATTCCTGTTCTGTTTCTGTTCTTGTGTCATGACTGACCTTAAGTCCTTCTTTAGTATTATATCAGGCAAGTTGAAATGATGTTTTCTCTGCTACACACAACGGTCAGTGAGCAATAAGCCGGTTACCAAGACAACACATGTAGAGCAGTTAAAGATGGCTGACATGTTGTCAGGTAAAGAAAGCCTGAGGTTATAAATGAAAAGAGGTCATAACCATACTGGCAGCATAACAAAGGCCATGCTTGATAGATTATAATGTTGATAATCAACACATGTTGGGAGTCAGTTTTTCCTGTTTATTGTCAAACAGTCTTAAAGATTCATAATAGTAGTTTTATCTGTAATCATACAGCAGTGGGGATTTTTGGCCTTTAAAAGCCCCCAGATCAGCCCAGTGTAACAAAATGTGCTTTTGCTTTAGGATAAGTGTTATTTGTATTTGCTGTTGCCATGGTGCAGGTAGTTCAACAATGACTCGATTGTGATGTTCAAACAACTAGGCCTTTCTCACACATCTCATTGCAGCATCTCATCTCTGCAGTGACCAGAATCTTGTTTTTCCCAAGGGCGCACAAACAGATGGTCATGCTTTCACGCTGTGACTTCCAAGCAGATAATGCCAGCCTAAAAATACCTGGTTGATATACTTTCACCTTTAAAACAGTTATTTACTTCAGAAGTGCAGTGAGTCAGCGTGGTCAGAGCTTAACTGTTTGTTAATTCTTTCTAATTCACGTGTTTGTTCGTATTTGTCTTAGGATGGTGACAACTACCTATTAAGGATGCACATAATCTGCAGTATAATGTCTATAAATACACACCAGTGTCAAAATGTATGATTCATTTAGTGTTAACATTGTAAATAATATCCTTGAAAGGAGAAACCCTGGAGAGGATTGTGTCAAGAAGTCTCAGATGACACTGTCTTTCCCTCTATCCAGACATACATTTGATCTAAATGTCTGTGTTGTCTGGGGATCTCATTAAGAGCTCTTATGCTGTGTGACTGTCTGAAAAAGCACAACCTGATATCAGTGTCGAGGTCGCACAGCTCTCAAAGGTCAACCTGACATATCGACCACCCCGCTGAAATCAGACCTGCTAAACTGCTAACCAGCGAGATGTCTGCATGCACACACGCGCTTATGGAAAAGGCATCTCATGGGAATGAACACACACACACACAGACACACAAACCAATCCTATCATGAACCTGATCTTTATGAGTAGATGCTACAGTAAGCTATTCAGCTGAATAGTTGTGTCTCTGTTGTGGAGCTTGATTAGTTAAAAACTGTGAAATAGACCATTTAAATGCTCTAAAATGCAAAAATATGTTGAAGGAAACTGTGATAATATGGACAATATTGACATATATGAGACTGCAATTTAAGATGCAACATTTACACCTCTGTGATGTCTCTCCTTCAGTATGAATGACATGGAGACGTAATTGGGGGACCTTGCCATCCCAATATGTACCGCCATCGGAGTTAGCAACAGAGGCGTTACAGGATCAGTGAAGCCAGCGGGGGAGAACAGCGTTGTGTGTGTGTGTGTGTGTGTGTGTGTGTGTGTGTGTGTGTGTGTGTGTGTGTGTGTGTGTGTGTGTGTGTGTGTGTGTGTGTGTGTGTGTGGGTTTACAGAACCCCCCTGAACCCAGAGCTCCCCCTGTCTCTCTACACGCTGTGCATCTGCAAAGCTGTAACTTCCCTCTATGTACTTGGCATTGAGCCAGGAACCTGCAATTTAACACACATCCAAAAACCAATAGAACCTCTAAAGTAACTTAACTATTTTTATCTTAAACACTAACCAACCACGGCTTATATCCTTAGTGACTAAAGATTTGCACACACAGTACGGAATATCTATGACAAGAACACACTTTCAGCCAACCTGAAATTTGAGTACTGAGCCTGCATTTGCATCCTTCCACTGATTTACAAGTTAAAACACAGGCACAAGAACCCTGAAAACAAAGCACTGCTTGTGGAAAACGTACACAACGACAAATATGTTTGCAACTGTGATCCGATCAGAAAAAAAAAACATGAAACAGCACAGCACCAACAAGATGAATAAAAAGGCTGACTATGGTTATGATTATTAGTTGCAGAATATTTTCTGTCAGTAGGAGGAGCTGGCATCATGTAAGTGTCTCCCTCCATTTGTCTTTAATTATGCATCATGAGGAAACGTGTCCTTGGGGATGTGAGAGCAGCTAAAGCCTGTAAATGTAATGAGATTCTTCCACTTTGTGTGATGAGATAAACCCTCTGTAAGACGGACTTTTATTGAAAGCCTCACATGATGCTGTATCCATTTCAGCATTACAGTAAAAAGCTTTTTTTTCTTCTATTTGTTCCTTTTAGAGGAAAGGTCATCAACACATGCTACTGCATCAGCCAATGAGATGTGAACAAGACAAACTCTGGTCTCCTTTTATTATTAATAATAATAATAATAATAATAATAATAATAATAATAATAATGATAATAATAATAATGAGGTACATTCATTGAAACAATTAGTGGCCTCAACATGATTTAAACAAGTCATTCTTTATCTTTACTTGTCAGCCCTTGTGTGAAACTGCTGTGCTTGACTTGTCCATAAGGAGGCAGAGTGAGTCTGAGATGAAACAATGAGAAGAGTGATGCTGCTCTGACACTTAGTGGAGAGCTCTATAATAACATGTGAGGATGTTTTACACACTGACTTTAATTCAGGTGGGCGGGTTCCACTTTTATATTAAAAACCAAAACTTTTCTTACCTGCATCTCCTGTTCTATGCGCAGTCTTTCTTGACCGAGTTCCTCCTGATAATACTGTCATAAAGGAGAGAGACTATAAATCAGACTATTATATATATATATAATTTGAAGGTTAGCACATACTGAAACAGGAAAGGATAGTTACAACTTGAATGAAGTATAATTCATCTACATGAATTTATTCACAGATCATAAATCAAAACATCCATACATGGGTGGGAAAAGTGTGTGTTTGCCTTTAAAGATGTACATGCAGTGTAGTTGCATTTATTTTAGGGCTTTTTGTGCCTTTGATGGAGAGATAGGCCAATGGAGTTGGAAATCACGGAGAGCGAGAGAGAGAGTGGGGAATGACATGCGGGAGAGGAGCCACAGGCGGGATTTGAACCTGGGCCGCCTGCTTTGAAGACTAAAGCCTCCATACATGGGGCGCGCGCACTAACCACTGCCCCACCAGCGCCCCAGTTGTGTTTGTTTTAACAGTAGTTTGGGCATGAAAATAGCTCTGATGACCTACATGCA